CCAGCTTCTTCCCTTTTGCTGCACCCCACCTCTACCCCCCTGTCCCCAGTCCATTCTCAGCATAGCAGATAGTATTCTTTCTAAAACATAAATAAGACCATGTCACTCCACTGCTCTCACAGAGTAAAAGTCAATGGCCTTGAAATGGCCCACTGTCCCCCTCCTACCATTAATTTTTGACCTCATCTTCTCCTACTCTTGCCCTCACTCACCCCCAGCCACACTGACATCTTGTTTTCTCTAAAACAGACCACATTCTCCAGCCTTACTTAGAGCCTTTGAATGGCTGTTTCCTCTGCCCAGAGTGATCTTCTCCCAGATGCCTTCCTTACCTTCTCCTTTGTTGATATGTCACCTTCTCGGGGTGTCTGACTCTTGATTTCGGCTCAGGTCATGATCTCAGAGTCCTCAGATTGAGCCTGGTGTGGGCTCTGTGCTCAGCGGAGAGTCTCCTTGAGATTCTCTCCCTCTCCCTTCCAACACCCGCTCCCAAACCCACCCCCTCTCTCTTTCTCTCAAATAAATAAATCTTAAAAGGAAGGAAGGAAGGAAAGAAGGAAGGGGGGGAGGGAGGGAGGAAGAAATACTGGTCACCTTCTCAGTAAGACCTACCTGGGCAATCCTATTTAAAATTGTAACTTGCTCCCATCCCCGGCATACATGATCCCTTTTACCGTCCTCTATTTTTTTCTTTTATCCATATTATACTATAACATAGTAAATTTACTCATTTAGTATGCCCTAACATAAGAATTAACCATCCCCTTCTTTTTATTCACACTACTACTGCTGTAGTGTAAGTAATCATTATCTCCCCATTAGACCAGTATTTTTCAAACTGCAGACTGCTTCAGACCAGCTTTTTCTCTTTTTGCAAATGAAAACTAAAATGGAAAAAAATTTTATCAGAGTGCTTCGCACACAGTAAAGGCATATTCTTTTATGACATTTGCTGTGATTATACACACACACAAAATTCAATTACTGCATACTGAGTTGCATGACACACTGAAGACACTTATTTGTGAAAGAATGAATGAATGAAAGCATGTCATCATATACTGCTATGATTTCAATTACTAGCTATTTGTGATAATCCTGAGACACCATTTATTGAACAAGTATTCTGCTGAATGCCACTTACCCATTTTTAAGAATGGGAAAAACAAAACTAAGATTAAATAATTTGTCAAAGGTTATATGGTTAGTAAGGAAGAGACAGGATTCTAACCCATGCTAACACCAAAACTCTCCCCATTCTCTAAAAACTTCTGCAGCCAAGAAATTCTATTTTTTTTGAAGTTTGGTTTTGTTTTGTTTTCCAGTTCAGCTCCTTTCTACTTCAAGGCCTTAGTGTACCCAGTTTCTTTCATGTGGAATACTCTCCTACCCCTGTACCCCATCCCCACTTAGAACCCTCAATCTAGCTGAAGCCTACTCATTCCTCTGTGCGTGAAGTTTAAATATCACTTCCTAAAAAGTTTTCCCATACACTCCAAATTAGTTAGCTTCCCTCAATGATGCTTCCACAGCATTCTGTCTTTTTCTCCATAGCACAAATCACATTTGTGGTACTTGTTCGATATCTTTCCTACTAGATTACAAGTTTCTTGTGAGTAAGGACCAGATCTACCAATATATAGGGATAGAGTACACCGGGAGGACTAGTACTACACACTCAATTCACTGAATAATAAAAAAATAGCATCAGAGTCCTTAGTCCCCCCAGACTAAAAACTAATATATTATTTTCATAGCCACATGAGAAGTGGTATAATAAAGTACTTGGGCTGTAGGGGCGCCTGGGTGGCTCAGATGGTTAAGCGTCTGCCTTTGGCTCAGGTCATGATCCCAGGGTCCTGGAATGGAGTCCCGCATCAGGCTCCCTGCTCATAGGGGAGCCTGCTTCTCCCTCTCCTTCTCCCTCTACTGTTCTCCCTGCTTGTGCTCTCTCACTCTCTCTGTCAAATAAATAAACAAAATCGTTTAAAAAAAATAAATAAAGTACTTGGGCTTTAGAGTCGGACAGAACTGAATTAAAGATCTGGCCCAGTTACTCATTAGGGAACACTGAGCAAGATACTTCTTCACCTCTCTAAGCCTCATTCACAAAATAATCACAGATACCTTGCCATAAAGATTAACTATCCTCTTCACTCACACTGCTATTACTACAGTTTAAGTAATTATCATCTCCGCCCTTTTTTTTAAGTTTATTTACGCAATCTCCACACTCAAAATGGGGCTCTAACGCACAACCCAGAGATCAAGAGCTGCAGGCTTTACTAACTGAGCCAGCCAGGCGCCCCAATTTTATATCCCCTCTTGAGTAATGTTTTTCAAATTTCAGATTGCTTCAAATCAGCTCATTTTTTTTAATGGAAAAATACAGAATTGAAAACAATATATCAGAGTTCACGCACACATTGAGGGCATATTGTTGAAATACATACAGAATGCAACTGGTGTTTATTGGGATGCAATATTACATGTACAACCTATTATGGGTCGCAGCCAAAAAATTTGAGATGCTACAGATAAATTAATATTACTATAATATTAAATACAGAACAGAGACCATGGTTTTGTTCACTACTGTGTTCCCAGAACCTAAAACAGTGTCTAGTATATAATAGCACACTAAATCCCTGTTGAAAAAGTGAGTGACAAATCTGGCCCCAACTTAACTTTTCAAACATACTAATCCTACAGTATTCCTCCTCATTGCTATTTACAGAGCCCAATATATTTTTCATGTCCGAACCTTGGCTTCCTCTATTCTCTTAGGCTAGCAAAACTTTCCTCCTTTTCTCAAACAATGCCTTTTTACTACATTTCACTTCCTTATAAAATCTTATTAGAGGCCCAAAGTCCACAAGCATGAAAGGAAACATGATAAATTATAATGTGACTATGCAGTACATTAAAAAATAGTTCTATATCATACATTCAAATTTTAGTTCAGTTATAGCATACATTAAACATTTCACTAACAATTTAGCATGCCATCTTAAAATTTAAAAGGTCTTTTGGAGGATCACTTAACCCATACTTAATTAAAAATGTGAAGTCTAATTTTAATACCTCTCTCTTAACTCTCTATAGGCGCTCAAAATCATACCATGTATTATTCTTTTCATAAACAGAGCAACACCAGAATATCTAAAGTCATCACTAAGGACTAAAAAGTCAGTAATTTCAGTATTGCAAATCAACTAGCTTTGCAATCTACAAGTTACTCTGTCCCTCATCCACAGATAAGCCAATTTGAAGACAAGTTGTTAAGAGACCATCATAACCACTGGTTTTGGAACTGTTTTAGAGGCTAAGAAGAATGTTCACAGATTCACCTTTTTTAAATTCCACATATTAAACACTTAATATGTTCCAGAAACTAACTTTATATACATATATTTACATAAATGACTGCATCACCTCCAAGTCTTTGGGGGGAAAAAAAAAATCACCATTGGACTGGAACTACTTTCTTTCTCCTTTTGACTATTTTTCACACACACACACACACACACACACACACAAAATCCTATGTTTCAGGCAGATTAGTTAACATACCACAAAAGGTTCTGTTCTTTCTCCTTATTTATTTTTTAAGATTTTTAAATAATCTCTACACCAGATGTGGGGCTTGAACTCATAACCCTGAGATCAAAAGTCACGTGCTCTATTGACTGAGGTGGCCAGGTGCCCGTTCTTTAAGACTTGCGTGTACACACACCTTTTATCATTTGATTTATAAAATTATTTTTCTTACTCAACTATATAGGTAAGCAAGCAAAATTATTACCAAATACTCTGACACTACAAAAATTTTGTTTTTCAATTCTCACTTCAAATATCTCATACCACCTACTAATTAGGCATCTTTGGTTCAACCCCTAATTATTCCAGAGTTCACAATCTAGGAACTAGAGTTCTTAAGCACAACTCCTTTCGTTCACTTTATCCCTACCAGAAGCTGAACAGTGGAAAGTTCCAACTTGTGCAACTCTAGAATGAGGTTATGAATGGGAGGGGGGAGGGGGGTACCTGACAGTTGTTTTTTTCACCACTTAAGATCCCAGAGAGACCAAAACACTTAAGTTCCAACATGAGCTCCATACTTCCCTGTATAAAATGTGTTTTAAGCTTCAACCTTTCCAGCTGTAAAAAAAAGTTTGAAGTATTTCTGAACAGACTGGATCAGTTGCCAAATAACCTCAAGTCCTTAAAGAGAAGGCAACATGAACATAGAACTAAAAACAATTTAATCGGCATAAAATAATATAGTATTGTAATATCATCAATAACACAGTAAGAGCAGTACGACTTTAATTAAAGATGTGATTTCAGAGCAAGAAAAACACCAGGGCTGGTTTCTGATTACAAAAGGTAAATACGGTTTTTAAATAGGTGTCTTTAAAAGATCCTACTAGGATCTTTAATGTCTGATTTTTCTGATTACGCTATGCTGCCAAAAGCTCTGGCTAATCTTTGGGGTGCTGTGACTCAGGGTCCCAACAGTGTGGCTTGTGTAGTGGGAACGCGGAACGCGCCACTACATGGCGCCTACAAGCTTTTAACAGTATTTGAATTCTCTCAATCCTCTGACGGCTACTATTGAGCCCCTTCCACTTCCAGTCGTCCCAGCACACTGGTTTCCAGCTCTTGGGGAACCTAGGGCTTCAGACTTAACCCCCAAAACGCTTTCTAAGTCAATGTGGAGGCCCGCATTTCCCCGCCCTTCTTCAAAAGACTCACTCCTCAGAGAAACGTTTGGTCTAACTAAGAAAAGAAACCTCTACCTGCTCCACCCAACAGGTGGGAAGGAGAAAGGAATGGACAGCTGGGAGCCGAGGCCAGGCCAGGCCAGGCCTCAAACAGGGCGGCTGAGGGAGGCCGCAACCCCAGTGCGGCCTGAAACAAGGCAGGCCCCTTCCTGCCCTGCCAATCACCCCCCCGCACCCCGCCCAGCCAATTCCAAGACGCCCGCCCCAGCTGACCTGACGACGGATGCCACTCAATGCCATGAGCCGCAGTCTGGGCCAACCGAGCCGAAGATGGCACTTCCACTGTCTCCGTCCCACAGACTCCACAGCAGCCGCCACCAGCACCAGGGCCGCCTCGTCCAGAGCACGGCGCGCATGCGTCGGTGCCCCAGAGGCGAAGGAGTCACGTGGTAACGCTGCGCGCAGGCCTCGCTCTCCGCGGGATCCTGGGGCGGGGTGGGGAGGGAAGGGGCAGTTGGCCCAGCCCCTTCCCTGCCCGGTCTCCGTCCCGCGGCCGCCGCCGAAGACCCGACAGCTGCTCTTGCTGTTTTTTCCCCGCTGTGGGGACTTTCTAAGCCAAAAGACAGTGTTTAGGGCCTTTTACATCCTTGATCTTAAACACAGACAGCGCCCCACCCCTCTAAAGGAAAATACTGTCTTTTGGGGCAAATCTAAGGTTTTCCCAAGAATTGCCCAGCTTTTACCCCTTTACCTACTAAACATGAACAGAAATTCAGCCTTAAATCTCTACTTCAGGATGATATAGACTCTGGGTCTTCTCAGGTTTCCTCAAGAGGAAACAACAAAAAAAAGAAACAATAGTGGAAACAAGTTAGGGGCTTGGGGAATTGATCATTAAAGGGTTATATGAAATTATCCTCTGGACAAATGAAGGCTGCTTACATTGACAGTATTAGCAGTCCTTTTCAGGTACATTCCCATCCTCACTTAAAAAAAAAAAAAATGTTTTTTTCTCGAATCTGGCCTCTCTCCTATTTCTGCTACAAGGTTCGTGAGTTCAACCCACCACTTGCCATGCAATCTGTTGAAGGTTCAGTAGTATCACAACTGGGTTGCGAGCTCCTCCTTTGGAATCTGATTCCAAAAAAATATATACATTTTTAAAGATTTTATTTATTTGACAAGGAGAGACATAGTGAGATGGGGAACTCAAGTAGGGGGAGTGGGAGAGGGAGAAGCAGGTTTCCCGCAGAGCAGGGAGCCCAATGCGGGGCTGGATCACAGGACCCTGGGATCATGACCTGAGCCGAAGGCAGACGCTTAAGGACTGAGCCACCCTGGCGCCCCTGATTCCAAAAATATTTCTCTGCGAGATGATGTTTCCTATCCACAATGCTGTTAATCATAAATCCCCTCAATAGCACCTTTGCTTTCAAATATCAAAATCGGGGCGCTTGGCTAGCTCAGTCAGAGGAGCCTGCTACTCTTTAACTCAGGGGAGTGAGTTTGAGCCCCAATTTGGATGTAGAGATTACTTAAATGAATAAATAAACCCTTAAAAAAATCAATCTTCTTACTGACTGCATTTCACTTTCATCAAACTGCATGTAGTTGCAGCTTTCCCTTTCCATTGCTTCTACTATTAAAGCTAACTTTTGGATTCTCAGGGCAGCTATGCTTTTTACTGGTTTAATCAGCAACTTTTAGATGTTTACTATGGGAAGGAAAGTTAAGGGAGTAATCTATTAGGAAGTGGCTCTAATCGCCATGCTGCCTTCACTCCTTTTCTGGTTCTTCCAATCTTTCCTAAACTTATTTCAAATTTTTCATCAGTAAGTAAGATTAGCTCAGAGATCCCATCCCCCTCCTATAGCCATTTTATAAAAATCTATCTACTTCTTCATCTTTATTCACTGTAGATTGTTTCCCTTTAGTTTTCTACATCTTACCTTTCCAGGGAGTGCTCTTGCTCCCACTCTCCTGCTTGAAAATCTCCACTAGTTTTCCTCCATAAATCTCTTGCCATTATGGCATCTGATTTTTGGAGAACCCAGACTAACATAAAAACTAACCAACATAAATGTGAAATTTAATGCAATGTGTTTTCTCCTAATTGATTCCATTACCTTCCATATGTCAGTGACTTATGCAGTGGACATTTTTTATTTTTTTAGCATATGAAACCACTCCCTCTGGGACATCCCCACTTTCTGAAGTAGAGAGCCTACACCCCACTGTAGAAGCTGAACCTACCTGATACTTACTCTCTTAGTCTCCCTCCACCACACACACACACACACACACACACACACACACACACACTCAGAGATATGAACACAGGGCTCGTAGGGCCAACATTCAGTGTGGCAGTGTGTGGTATCAGTGGGGTGATGTGGTGGCTCTCTTCTGTAATACTAGCAGGCTAGTGGACTAGCTCTGCAACGCAAGATGGACATTCTTATTAGCTAGTTAGCCTCCCAGTCTCATAAAACTGGGACACCAGATATTTTTTATAAACCTTCCTTCTGTTTAAATTAGTCATACATAGTTAGTTAGTTGTATTTGATGGTAAATAAGAATTGTGAAACAAGTTCCAAGAACAGTTGCAGATAACAGACCATCAGGGAAATAGAAACAAGTTGGATTAGTCCTAACCAGGGCTGAGAAAACAGTAAAAATCCAGCTGGTATCAACAGAAGTCCTTCTGGGGTTTATGGAACACAGTGCATATAGTACACATATGGTAAAAAATGATTACCGGTAGTCATCTAGAATGCTTTGACCATGGAAGGCAAAGGTTCAGGCAGAAGTGTGGGGTGGAATTTTTATTTATACTAACACTGGACAGCTTAAAAGAGAATGACATAAGATCAGATTTCTAAATTCTTGAAGTAGGAACCAAAAATTAAGGACTTCCTCTGATAGTAACAGAAGAATTTATTCTTTGCAGCCATGGGGCTGAAAGAGCCAAACACACTCAAAGTTGGGGCCCATGTTGCTAAATTACAATGTCAGTTGATTCCATAGTCTTGTCAGAAATCTTCTATGAAGATTAAGGCATTGTTCAGGAAAGAGCAGAAGGAAAGAAGTGAAATGGGCATGTGGTAGAATTCAAATAACTTGAATACCCTTAACTCATTACCTTTCCCTGAGCTCCAGTCATCAAACAAAAGCAGCCCCTACTAACTGAACTGAAAAGACTGTTTCTGCCTTAATGGAAATCTATATAGATCTCTCCTAATCTGTGGAGGCTTCACCTTGCATGAAGAGGCCAATTTTTCTTATTCCCCATTCCCAACACTTATCATTTTTTCTAAACTTATAACAGAATCAGATTTCAGCATATTCTGGAAGCCAATTATAATGTCAAACTTGTATAGCAAGACTTATATAGCAAAACAGTTGAAACTTTACAAATTTATGTTGACAAAAATATGGAGAATACATGAGAAAATTCAGTGAGTGCTAGACTGAGAAGGAAGTGATTTTAAAGTATATATATGTAATATATATATTTGTAATATTTGTAATACTACATATTAACATATACATATAAATATGTATAAATTCAATATGCTAGCTTAAACAGTCAAGAATGGTTCGAACAGTTTGTTCTGTAGGAGTGTCGGCATGAACTATTCATGAATAACTTTCCACTCACCTTAACTAGGTATCCTGAGTGCCAGGTACACTCCCTTCGCCAAGATTTAAGAAATACACAGGTGAAGGGACAGTCAGCATCTTTGGAAAGTACTACAATCTCCAACTTATAATGGTTCAACTTAACAATTTTTCAACTTCAAAGTGGCGCAAGAGTGATTAAGAACACAGCCACTCAATCACAAGGGTAAACAACCAATACACTTAAAACCATTCTGTACCCATACAACCATTCTGTTTTTCACTTTCAGTACGGTATTCAATAAATTTCATGAGATATTTAACACTTTATTATAAAATAGGCTTTGTGTTCGATGATTTGCCCAACTATAGGCTGATGTGAGTGTTCTGAGCATGTTTAAGTTAGACTCGGCTAAGCTATGATGTTTGGTAGGTTAGGTGTATTAAATGCATTTTTTTCTTTCTTTTTTTACAATTTTATTCATTTATTTGACAGAGAGAGAGAGTGCACAAGCAGGGGGAGCTGCAGGCAGAGAGAGAGGGAGAAGCAGGCTCCCTGCTCAGGGGCTCAATCCCAGGACCCCAGGATCAGGACTCAAGCTGGGAAGGCAGATGCTTAACAGACTGAGCCACCTAGGCGTCCCTCCTTAGTTCTTTCAATCAGTGATCAGTCTCCAATTCTTTGCTGACTTCTGGGTTGATAACAATTCTTGATAACAGAGTGCTAGACTTCTGAGCGCTGAATATCAGTAAGTTACTAAAATAGAGGAAATCTTTAAGGCTTGGGACTCTGTTACATGAGTATATTTTTATAATAAAAGCACAGAGATTATGTAAAATCCTCACAATAGTAGTGATTATATTTACTGTACTTTTTTTTAAAGATTTTATTTATTCGAGAGCAAGACAGCACAAGAGCAGGGGGGAGGGGCAGAGGGAGAGGGAGAAGCAGACTCCCCACTCAGCAGGGAGCCTGATACAAGGCTCAATCCCAGTACCCTGAGTTCGTGACCTGAGGCAAAGGCAGACACTTAACCAACTGAGCCACCCAAGTGCTCCTTTACTGTACTTTTTGAAAGCAAAATTCATAGTATATACATTTAAAAAAAAGAATAATTAAGCTTATACATAAAGAAATGGTCTTCTGCCTTTGAAATTTAAAATTTACCTTCCATATATTCAACAATCAATCAATGCAAATTTAGTAGGCACATTTGCAATGACACAAGGACAATGGTCAAAATGAATAAAACTTGGAATCTGTAACTATTGTTTCAATGGTGCATATCATTAAGGGTTAAAGCAAAATTTAATGATGATTTCAGATTTACAACTGAGGTCAAAAGAGTCTAAACCAGGTGCTGACAAACTATATGCAAGAGGTCTGTTTTTGTTTGACCTGAGCTAAGAATGTATTATACATTTTTAAAGGGTAATAAAAACACAAAAACAAACAAACAAAAAGAATATGTCACAATCTGTAGCTTACAAAGCCAAAAATATTTACTTTTTGGTCCTTTACTTCAGACCTAAACTATAGAAACATAATAAAATACACTTAGAAGAAAAGATAAAGCATTTAAAAAGCATGTATGTAACTATGAATATATGTTACAGTACTTACAAACAGAAAAAGTAACCACGTCTTTACTTTCTATTCAGCTTAGGTTCAAATTGCTGTACAACCCCTTTTATTCCTCAGCAGTCATGGAGTAATACAAAGAATCACAATTTAAAATGAAGCCAAATACATCAGAAAACCACTCAGTGACACAAGAAATGAAAAAGAATGAGGATAGTTCACAACTGTAATAAAGTGATCATTGAGTAAACTACGACACAGAACCATGGATTTTTAGAACAAGATAGAACCTTAAAAATCACCTCGTCTAGCCCTCACATTTTAGAGACTGGAACACTGAGACCTAGACCTGGCAAGTGACTTGCCCAAGGTCACATGGCTAATTTCCTCTAAAGCTAGCCCAGGTCTATTGTTAGGTCAATAGAGATAGGTCATTATTATACCAAGTATACCAAGTGAAAGTGATAGGTCAATATTATAATATATATATTTTTTATTTTAACATATTTGGAAGGTGGAAAAATAGGACACCACTCACACATCTACAGAAATAAATCCTTTTATTTTTATAACATTCCTTTTCTTTTTATGATGCATACAGTACTTATAGCCCAAGAATTCTGAGAAAAGCTATAGAAGACCTGGCACTATTTTTGAGAATTACACAACTGGGCAGCAAAATAACACCTTTATAAATGTTGGGACATATAGTAATAAAATTTAGTGTTTGCACACAAAAATAGGTAAGTTACATTCAACACGTTTTCTTTAATGTGCATTTAAAATGTTTAAGCGTTAAACTTTGGTCATCATGCTTCATTATAACTTGTTAAATTCCACAGTAATGTAGATGATTTAACCCAAATGGTAAGCAAATATATCACATTAACACAATAGCAAAAGCAAGCTAATACTGCACAATCATATTAGCAGACTGATTTCAGAAATACATGTTTTTCACAAATAGCACACAAAAGTTAGTTTGTGATAACATAGTTCAATGACTTTTCTTTCATTTCATAAAATAAGGCTGAGTAATGAGACAGAGCAGAACATGATTACATAATAAAAAGTATATTTTTAATTACAAATCTAATTGTACATATAGGGCAATGAATTGTGGTTTCTTATGGAATAGTGCAAATGAGCAGGACGTTCCTCAAAAATAATATAATTGGATTCATTCCTTGTACCTCAGATTTCATGAATATTAGGTTATATTAATTATTTTAGCTTTTTGTGTGATGGGTACAAGTGGTAGGGTTGATACAGGGCAGATTTGTATTCATTGGGTGCAAATACAAATAGCCATTGACTTAATTTACCAGATGAGAAGTGCAGGCACTGAAAATGTAACTTTAAAAAAGTTCCATTTGTTATCATGTAAACAATTTTCTTCATCATACTATATTTCATCAAAGATTCATAATTCATTTCATATTGTCATGTTGAGCAATTCTTCTAAACTCTTTTTGATATGTGGTGGTTGGGATGCAGCCTGATTTAACAGATTCTGACCCATTTGTACAAAAAGTGCTTTTGATAATTTAGCTGTGGCTGTTCGTATATTTCCTCCAGCTCCAGGCAAAGAGCCACTATTTGTCATGTTCCCTAAAAGATGCCATAAAACAACCAACACTTTCTGTTCTGTGGCATGGGGCTTCCTTTGATAAAGTTCCATAACAATATCTGAAACATAAAAATATAGTAAATAGTGAAGTTTTCAAAAAAATAAATTCGTTTGGTTAATTAAAAAGCATACAAAATATACTAAGCTTCTTCCCGATGCCATTTGTCATAAAATGTCAGGCATTTTTTTTTTTTTAAAGATTTTATTTATTTATTTGAGAGAGAGAGAGAGAGAGAAACAGCATGAGAGGGGAGAAGCAGGCTCCCCGCTGAGCCGGGAGCCTGATGTGGGACTCGATCCCAGGACTCCAGGATCATGACCTGAGCCGAAGGCAGTCGCTTAACCAACTGAGCCACCCAGGCGCCCAAAATGTCAGGCATTTTAAAGAAAAGTAGGGTCAGAAACTTTCTTCCCAAAGAAGGAATCTTTAAGTATTAGAATTCTATATATGACAACTTAGTTCAGGCAAAAGTAGTAAACACAGGAATTAAACCCAAAATTCATCTCGATGTTTTCCAAATGTAGTTAAATAAAAACATATATTTTTAACTCACTGACCTTTTATCAAACACATCATTTGAAATGGTTTTCCAAGTGCACCAAATTTACTTTAATGTCTTTTTATTTTTTCTATATTATTTCTACTGACAGAAAGACTAAATACTTACTGGGGAAAAAAAGGATCAAATTCTTAAAAAAAATTCTGGGGGGTAAAAGTCTTAAAAGGTTCTCATATGGATGATTATGCAATTTATTTCTACATTGTGGGTAATGATACTGAATTTGGTAGTTATCCCAAAATTAAATTGAAATGCCTATCAGTTTATCCTTAGTTAATAAAATATTTCTTTAGAAATAGCAATTAAAAAATACTTACCAGCAAGCTTTTCAGTCATATCCTGTTTTGCTTTTCCATTTAAAAACTGAGCTTTTGTGCAAAATGGCTGTAGAAGTAAGTAATTGTCTAAACAATAATACAGACATATAAAGAATTATGAGATCTTATTTTTCCATTACATAGAATTGAAAGGAAAATATATTCATGCAAATGAATGCAAATGTTAAAAAAATTTTTAAATCTATGCAAGCACTACTTACCATTATTTATAAAACCTTAATAGAATAATATTCTTATAGCAAATAAGACATAAAAATATCTGAGTATTAAAAGAGCTATCATATGGTATAAAAAAGCAAAAGAATTGCCCATCTCCCTGGCATCTTATTCCAAAAAATAGAATATAGGTTTATCAAAAACAAACAAAAATAGAAAAAAAAATTGTTTTGCGGGTAGTTTTTATCTTTACTGATTTTTTCAAAGTCTTAATTTTGTAATATAGATTCACAGGATGTTGCAAAGGTCCTGTGTACCTTTCACCAAAGGTTGTATCTTACATAATTATAGTACACATCAAAATAAGGAATCTGACATTTATACAATCCATGTGCATAGTTCTAATCTGCACCATTCACATATTTGTTGATTTTTGGAGTTTTTTTTATAAGCTCTACACCCAATGTAGGGCTTGAACTCATGATTCCGAGATCAAAAGTCATGTGCTCTACCAAGCCAAAAGGTGCCCCTACCTGTGTATCTATGTCATTTTATCACATGTGTAGATTTGTGTAACGATCACTGCAGTTAACATACAGAACTATTCTATCACCACAAAGATCTCCCTAGTCACATCCAGCCCCTCCTCCCTAGATGCCCCAAACCCTGATAACCACTAACCTGTTTTCCATCTTCATCATCCATAAATTTTATCATTTTGAGAGGGTTATACAAACAGAATCCTACAGCATGTGACCTTTTGGGACTGTCTTTTTTCACTCAGCATAATACCCTTTAGATTCATCCAAATTGTTGTGTGTATCCATAATACTACATTTTTTTAAAAAAAATTTTATTTATTTTACAGACAGAATGACAGTGAGAGAGGGAACACAAGCAGGGGAAGTGGGAGAGGGAGAAACAGGCTTCCCGCTGAGCAGGGAGCCTGATGCAGGGCTCAGTCCCAGGACCCTGGGATCATGACCTGAGCCGAAGGCAGACACTTAATGACTGAGCCACCCAGGCGCCCCCATAATACTACTTTATTACTAAGTAGTATTCTACGGTATGGATGTATCACAAATTTTTTCACTATTAACCCACTGAATTACATTTAGGTTGTCTGCAATTTTTGGCTATTGCAAATAAAGCAGCTATGAACAATAGTGTACAGGTTTTTGGATGGAAGTGAGTTTTCATTTCTCTGGAATAAGTGCCTATGGATGAAACTGATGGGTTATATGATAAGTGCAGTTTAGTTTTTCTAAGAAATTGCCAAACTATTTTCTACAGTGCCTACACCATTTTATTTACATTCTCACCAGCAATGTAGCACAGATTCAGTTTCTCTGAAATCTTGTTAGCGTTTGGTGTTGTCACTCTTTCTAATCTTAGCTGTCCTAATACTTGCTATATATAACCTGAATGTCTGTGTCCTCCAAAATTCGTATGTTGAAACCCAGTCCCCATTGTTATGGCATTTGGAGGTGAGGCCTTTGGGAGGTGATTAGGTCATGAAGATGGAGCCCTTATGAATGAATGGGGTTAGTACTCTCTTATAAAAGATGCCCTAGAAAGCTCCTATCATGTGATGACACAAACAGATGATAGGGCCATCTAGGAACCAGAAAGTGGACCCTCACCAGACACCAAATCTGTTGGCACCTCGACCTTGAACTTTCCAGCCTCCAAAACTGTGAAAAATAAGTTTGTTTTCACGCCATCAAGTCTGTAGTAGTTTGTTGTAGCAGCCCTAACAGACTAACATATTTGTGTAGTGATCATGGTCTTAACTTGAATTTTACATTTCCTAATGACTAGGGACGTTGAACAGCTTTTCACTTGTTTATCTGCCATCCATACATTCTCTTCAGTGAAATGTTTCTTCATGTCCTTTGTCCATTTTCTAGTTGATTGTTTATTTTAATGTTCAGTTTTGAGAGTTCTTTATATACTCTAAATTCTTCCTCATATATGTGATTTGCAAATAACTCTCTCCCAATCTGTAGTATTTCTCTTTATGTATTTAATAGGGTCTTTTGTAGAGCAAATGTTTTTAATTTTGATGAAGTCTCATTTATCAGCTTTTATGGATCATGCTTTTAGTGTCATGCTAACAACTCTTCACCAAGCCCTCAGGTCCTAAGGATTTCTACCTATGTTATCCTTAAAAGTTTTACAGTGAAGTTTTACATTTAAACCTAAGATCCATCTTAAGTTAATTTTGCATCAGATGTGAGACTGAGGTGGAAAAAAGGAACTGAAAAGTCAAAAATAAAGGAAGATAAAGTCAATTTAATGGGACATATTTAATCTCTACAAATAATTTAAAATATTACTGAGACTATCACAACATTAAATGACAAATATTGACTATGATTTCAACATTATAAAAAAAACAATGTGTAAAATCAGAAAGTACAAAAGTAAAGTCAAAGTAATCTGAGTGCCAAAGTAAAGATTTCTTACCTACATGCTGACTCAGTGCCTGAACAACATTTGTGGCAGCAGCATAGATGCCTGGATTCTTTGAATTCAGATTGTTATCTACTATTGCTGGAATTAGCATGTTGATTATAGGAGATAAGTTGTCTCTAAGCAAAGGAATCATTTTGTGCATTGTTTCTAGAGCCACCAGATTTACTTTACTATTGGAATCATGAAGTCGAGATTTAAAAGCATCAAAGATCTGAAAGTAAATTGGTAAATTATTTAAATTATTGGTAAATTATTTAAAGTGAAATAATGTTTATAGCTATTTAAATTCTTTTTGGCATTCTATAGTATTTATCCTATTAATATACTGTTTAAAAACATACACACAACACCTTACTTAACCTGAACTTAGATAGGAATTTTATATAAATTTGGATGTTAAATCTAAGTCTCAAATCTTCTTATAGCAAAAAGACAAGTCTTCAAAGATCACCCAAAAAGACATACTAATAAATTAAGGTTGAGAAATTTAGCTTGGTAGGAAGATGACTGGCTTACTGTAAATGGGATAAAAATGCTATTTTTTGGAAGGTACAATTTAGCTTAGCTAACTCTAAGAACTCAAGAAAAGTTTCTATTTTTATCACTATTCCTAACAGAATTAGACATGTAAATTCTACTGTAGAGATCTGATTTAGTTTCAGTTTAAGTGTCTTATGAGAATTTTATATGAAAGTTCAGTTAAATTTTTATTATTACCTCTTAACCTGATTAACAATTATTCCTTACTCTTTAGAATTCTTAACTTTCATAAGCTTAAGATATATTAAGGGAATGATAAGCAAATCTTTAGTCACATCAGGTGAGTGAAGAGCTATTCTGTGAGGCTAAGATATATATATCTGTGAGGCTAATATATATATATATATAACTCATATAAAAACTATGAAAGTTAATATATATACATAAAATTTTTCATGGTAAGAATAGTCTTCCCAAGAGATTTATTTTTACTCAAAATTAAGAGATAGCACTATTGGAATTAAGAGTAGTTATGGTATGTTGGCCAAGTTTAATGTACATAAATACAAATTTTAAATGGAATTTAGTTAATAAATTACTAATGGAATTAACTGAACTAACACTGAAGAAGCATAAATCATCTATGCTCATTTATTACTATCTCCTTTTCTATTGCTTGTTATCTTCCTAAGGGTTGGTATATAAATTAGTATGTACAAGATTTCTAATCTACATATAAAAATTTTAATATCTATTTTTAAGTAATATCAGAGCTCTTAAATGCCCTGGTTCTTAAAATATTTACTGATTCACTCAACATTAATTCACTGAATGTCAGGTTCCAAGAGCTCTGAGAATACAGAGCTTTCAAGAAGTTACCACCTAGTGGGAGAATTCAGACAAATAAGCAGCTATTTTTTTATCTTTTCTCAATTACTTTGAATTGTTCTACAATGCTTTTAACACAGCAAAACCTAAGCAATCCATTCTTCTAAGTTTAACATTTTAAAATAATATATGTAAGGTACTAAGATTTAGGGCAATTTCTTATACTAATGAGCTGTTAGCTACATATTGAAAATGAAAATTAATTTTGACAGTTCATTACCTTCACAATGTTTACAACAACCAGTTCTTGATTGTTTTCAGTATCTGATAAAAGCTGCTTAATCCCATTAATGCGATCACGGAAGTCTTTTGCATTTAATAAACTGGTTATGACTTTAATGTATTCAGCACTTTCTAAGGAATTGCGGGGAACTGATTTTCTGGTGATGTCACGAATTTCAGTTACTTCTCTAAAGTCAAAGAAAGGTAAATTTAATTTCATTATTAATTTTCTATAAGAAACATAAACATAACAAATAGTTCTTATTACATATTTATTTTTCAAAAATTCACAAAGTGATCTAACCCAAAGCCACAATACCTGTGTTGGGGGTCCCTAAAATCTCCCCTGAGTTTGGTGATTTGCTACGAGGACTCACAGGATTCAGCATGTAGTTCTCCTCACAGCTAAGATTTATTACAGGAGGATACAAAGCAAAATCAGCAAAGGGAAAAAGTGCAGGGGTCAAAGTCTGATTGAAACTAGATATAAGCTTCCAAGGTCCCAGTGGAATCACACAGGACAAATTTATTATTACTCCAGTATCAACTCGTAACAACACATGTGAAATGTTGTCTACCAATGAACCTTATTAGAGACTCAATGCTCAGGCTTTTTTTTTTTTTTAAGATTTTATTTATTCATTTGAGAGAGAGAGAGAGAACGTGCAGTAGGGAGAGGGAGAATCTGAAGCAGATTCCGCACTGACTGCAGAGCCTCTCTTGGGGCTCAATCCATAATCGTGATGACCTGAGACAAAATCAAGAATCAGACGCTTAACCAATTGAACCACCCAGGCACCCCTCACTGCTCAAGGTTTTACTGGGAGTTGGTCATGACTGGTCCTCTGCCTAGGATATACTGAAATTCTAGGCTCCCAGAAGGAAAGGAGGTCTTCAGCATAAACCACATTGTTTGCCCTAATAATTGTGGTACAATAAACTATTCTTATCAGTTAAGGAACAGTGGCAATCCTCCTTAAATCCTAGTTCCCAGATGCCAACCAAGGGCTCACCTTGTAAATAAGAAGAGTCTCAGGCCTGCTATGCTAACTCAAATCATGTGAATTTGCATGAGAGAACTAGAATCTTGACTCTAGCAGGACTTACTATTTCAATGACTTACTATTACTAGCATCTTGTTTTTTATTGCTATAAAGGGGCGACTCAATATAGGAGATGAATGATCCTTTTGAAACTAAAGTGTCATGCAAATTGACAGGTCTTTTTTTTTCTAAGATTTTCATTTATTTATTTGAGAGAGAGAGAGAGAGCACAAGCAGAGGGGAGAGGGAGAGGCAGAGAGAGAGGGAGAAGCGATGCGGAGCTCAATCCTAAGACCCTGAGATCATGACCTGAGCCAAAGGCAGACACTTAACCAAATGAGCCACCCAGATGCCCTCAAATTGACAGGTCTTAAAGACAATGGTAAGAGTTGCCAGTTACCATTTCTCTGACTACCAGTATTGAAAATGGTGCTGAAGTTGTCTTAAGAGCACTGATTAATGAACGACTCAGGATCATCCTAAAAGTAGATACAAGATGGTGATCTGCAACACAGATCTTAGTTAGATGTATCTATTCATTATTTTTAATTTGCTTAAATAAATCGATCTGAGGTTAATTTGTGAAATGATTAATTCTATACAATGACAAAAATAGAAGATTAAATTTATATTTAAACTGAGAAGTATATGACACATAAAAGGTGAATAAATGAAAAGAGTTAAAAAGAACACCTCAGGAAGCCATCTAATTACTGAAACTTATGGGGCGCCTGGGTGGCTCAGTTGTTAAGCGTCAGGTCATGATCCCAGGCTCCTGGGATCGGGCCCCTCATCGGGCTCTCTGCTAGGCGGGAAGCCTGCTTCTCCCTCTCCCACTCGCCCTGCTTGTGTTCCCTCTCTCACTGTGTCTCTCTCTATCAAATAAATAAATAAAATCTTAAAAAAAAAATAATTACTGAAACTTGTGTTTAAAGATGGTTTTTTTGTTATTTAAAACAAAATGGATTTGATAGTAAAATAACAGTGAATATACCTTAGGGTATACGACAAAAAACAGACATGCTCACACACACACCTCAATCAATCAATTCAAAAGAAGGCAGGACAAGAGACTCATTTTAGACATAAAGACACCTGCAAATTGAAAGTGAGGGGACGGAGAAACATTTATCATGCAAATGGACATCAAAAGAAAGCTGGAGTAGCAATACTTATGTCAGACAAACTAGATTTTAAACTGAAGACTGTAACAAGAGATGAAGAAGGGCACTATTAATAAAGGGGGCTATCCAAAAAGAAGATCTAACAATTGTAAATATTTATGCCCCCAACTAGGGAGCACCCAAACATATAAAACAATTAATAACAAATATAAAGGAACTCATTGATAATAATACAATAATTGTAGAAGACTTTAACATGCCACTTACAACAATGAACAGATTATCTAAATAGAAAATAAACAAGGAAACAATGGCTTTGAATGACATACTGGACCAGAAGGACTTAATAGATACATTCAGAACATTTCATCCTAAAGCAGAATATACATTCAAGTGCACATGGGACGTTCTCCAGAATAGATCACATACTAGGTCATAAATCAGGCCCAAACAAGTATAAGTAGATTGAGATCATACCATGCATATTTTCCTACCACAATACTATGAAACTTGAAGTCAACCACAAGAATAAATTTGGAAAGACCACAAATAGATGGAGGTTAAACAACATGCTACTAAACAATGAGTGGGTCACCAGGAAATCAAAGAAGAAATAAGAAAAATACATGGAAACAAATGAAAATGAAAATACAATGGTCCCAAACCTTTGGGTTGTAGCAAAAGTGGTCATAAGAGGGAAGTATATAGCAATACAGGCCTACCTCAAGAAGCAAGAAAAATCTCAAATAAACAACCTAATCTTACACCTAAAGGAGCTACAAAAAGAACAAAGCCTAAAGCTAGCAGAAGGCAAATAATAAAGATTAGAGCAGAAATAAATGATATAGAAACTAAAAAAACAATAGAACACATCAATGAAAGCAGCAGTGGTTCTCAGAAAAAATTAATAAAATTGATAACCCCCTACCCAGACTTATAAAAAAAAAAGGGGCCCAAATAAATAAAATCATGAATGAAAGAGGAGAGATCACAACCAACACCAAATAAATACAAACTGTTATTTTTTAAAAAATATTTTACTTATTTGAGAGAGAGAGAGAGAAAGAGAGAGTGAGCATGAGCAGGGGGGAAGGGCAGAGGGAGAGAGAGAAGCAGACTCCCCACTGAGCAGAGCCCAATGCGGGGCTCAATCCCAGGACCTTAAGATCATGACCTGAGCTGAAGGCAGTCGCTCAACCAACTGAGCCACCCAGGCACCCCAGAAATACAAACAATTATAAGAGAATATTTATTATATGCCAACAAGTCAAGCAATCTGGAAGAAATGGATGCATTTCTAGAAACATTTAAACCACCAAAACTGGAACAGGAAGAAATAGAAAATTTGAACAGACCCATAACCACCAAGGAAATTGAATCAGTAATCAAAAATCTCCCAAGATACAAAAGTTCAGGGCCAGGTGGCTTCACAAGGGAATTCTACCAAACATTTAAAGAAGAGTGAATACCTATTCTCAAACCATCCCAAAAAATAGAAAAGGAAGGAAAACTTCCAAATTCATTCTATGAGACCAGCATTATCCTGATTCCAAAACCAGACAAAGTCTCCACTAAAAAAGAGAACAAGAGGTCAATATTTCTCATGAACATGGATGTAAAAATTCTCAACAAAATACTAGCAAATTGAAACCAACAGTACATTAAAAGAATCATTCACCATGATCAAGTGGGATTTATTCCTGGGCTGCAAGGATGGTTCAGTATTCACAAATCAATCAATGTGATACACCACATTAATAAAAGAAAGGATAAAAACCATATGATCCTTTCAATAGATGCAGAAACGGCATTTGACAAAGTACAGCATCCATTCATGATAAAAACCCTCAAGAAAGTAGGTTTAGAGGGAACATACCTCAACATAAGAAAGGCCATATATGAAAAACCCACAGTTAAAATCATCCTCAATGGGAAAAAACTGAGAGCTTTTCCTCTATGATCAGGAACAAAAGAGGGATGTCCACTCTCACCACTGTTATTTAGATTAGTACTGGAAGTCCTAGCCTCAGCAAACAGACAACAAAAAGAAATAAAAGGCATCCGAATTAGCAAGGAAGAAGTCAAACTTTCACTATTTGCAGATGACATGATATTTTATATAGAAAACCCCAAAAAATCCATAAGAAGTTGTCAATTGATAGATGAATTCAGTAAAGTTGCAGGATACAAAATCAATGTACAGAAATCTGTTGCATTTCTATACACCAATAATGAACAGCAGAAAGAGAAATTAAGAAAACAATCCCATTTACAATAGTACCAAAAACCATAAGATACCTAGGAATAAACCTAACCAAAGAGGTAAAAGATCTATACTCTAAAATCTACAAAACACCCAAGAAAGAAATTAAAGATGACACAAAGAAATGGAAAAACATTCCATGCTCATGGATTAGAAGAACTAAGACTGTTAAAATGTCTATACTACCCAAAGCAATTTACACATTTAATGCAAATCCTATGAAAATACCAACAGCATTTTTCACAGAGCTAGAACAAACAACCCTACAATTTGTATGGAACCACAGAAGACCCTGAATAGCCAAAGCAACCTTGAAAAAGAAAAGCAAAGCTGGAGGCATCATGACTCTGGACTTCAAGTTATATTACAAAGCTGTAGTGATCAAAACAGTATGGTACTGGCACAAAAACTGACACACAGATCAATGGAACAGAATAGAAAACCCAGAAATGAACCCAAAACTCTATGGTCAACTAATCTTCGACAAAGCAGGAAAGAATATCCCATGGAAAAAAGATGGTGTCTTCAATAATTGGTGTTGGAAAAACTGGGCAGCAACATGCAAAAGAATGAAATTGGACAACTTTCTTTCACTTTTTTTTTTTAAGATTTTTATTTATTTATTTGCAGAAAGAGAGAGAGAGAGCGCACAAGCAGGGGGTGCAGCAGACAGAGAGAAAAGGAGAAGCAGGCTCCCTGCTGGGCAGTGAGCCCGACGTGGGGTTTGATCTCAGGACCCTGAGATCATGACCTGAGCAGAAGGTAGACGCTTAACCAAGTGAGCCACCCAGGCACCCCTAAAAAAATATATTTAAAAAAAAATTATATAATCAATCTATTATATGTTAAACAGTGTAAACAGGTTACAAAATTATATACATAATTATATTTATAAAAATTTTAAGAGTAGTCCTTTTGTGGTTGGTGGTACTACGTGGGTGATTGGTTAATTCTTCTTTTAATGTTTGGATTTTCTAAAGTTTTTTTTTTTTTTTTTTCCACTAACCATAATTGTATATTACTTTTATAATCAAGGGGGAAAAGTAAAGGCTAAAAATTAATACAAAATGAATCAGAGTTGTCTAACACAGGCCTAATACTGACAAGTTCAATAGCACTAAAGCTTTAATAATGTTTAGCGCATGTAAAAGCCAGTTGCTGTGAATATATAATTGTCTTATTAAGTATAATTACCTCACACTTTCTAAGTCCTTACCAACTTTTAAAACTCCATTAAGTTTTGACAAATACCCCTGGGATAGTTCATAAAAACATCCAAAAGAGACTACTATCACTAGGGAGTAATTTCTCTAATGATGTGGACTATCAAATAATCCTACCTTTCAGCTGAATTGAAAGCATCTCTAGAAACAGATGATGACCTTGTATTTCCAACAGTGCCAGTATGAGATCGTCTTCCTTTTGCTGAAGGAGTATCTAGTGGTATCTCTCCTAAGCCCTTTAAGTAATATAAAGAAAGGCAGTGTAATAAAAGTCTTAAAACCAGTTAAGTGAAATAATTTATATAATGTAATTTTCATAGAAGTGATTATTGATCTTTTTATAAGTGAACACATCTTAATCAGCTATGCTATGCTTTAAAGGGTATCAATACATAAAATACCTTCTAATTAGTAATAAATTAACCAAATATGTGATCAACTAATAGAAAATGATATTGGCTGGGTAAAACTGTTCAATAAAATTTTAAAAATTAATATGCTATATTTTATCACTACTCTTAAACCTTAAAATCTACAGAGAAAATACGAACACATTACATAAATAATGAATTACTATGCAACATCAGGACGAGAATAAACACTTTGATAAGAACTATTTAATAATACTTGTACTTGAACTGACTCACAAATACAAACCACCTCAGTTCAGTAAGATAATTATTTGCATGGTTATTTTAATTATTTCTATATGAATTAAGCTAAAGTCTTTAAGATCAATAAGAAGAAAAAATTGCTCTAAAATGTATATTGCCATACATCTTTGAAATACTGTCCTTTCATAAATGAATCCTTTATCCAAGATTATCAGTGAGGAGTAACATAAATTAGCATAAAAAATTCTACATTATTAAATTAAACATTTTTGCAAAAAAAAAGTAAGTGGGTTATTTTTTTTTTTCTAAAGGTTTTATTTACTCATTTGAGACAGAGAGATACAGAGATAGAGAGAGCATGAGCAGGGGAGAGGCAGAAGGAGAGGGAGAAGCAGGCTCCCCACCGAGCCAGGAGCCAGATGTGGGCCTTGATCCCAGGACCCTGGGATCATGACCTGAGCCGAAGGCAGACGCTTAACAATCTGACCCACCCAGGTGCCCAGTGGATTACTTTTTATAAGTTACTTTTCACATTTTATTTTACTTGATATTCCCTCAGTCACTCATTTCAGACATGTCTGAATCCCCCATTATCTACCAGGATTAAATAAATGGGGCTTCCCCTCAAGGAGCTCCCAATCAATGTTCTGCAGTGTGATAGGAACTCTAATAGTGGAATATACAAGGTAAAGCAGGAACCAAGCATGATGAACATCACTATCCTTATCCTAGAAAAATAAAAAATTCAGGTTAAAGAAATGAAGTGATGTACCTAACATTATATAGTTGTTTAATTCTCAAACCCAAGTCTTGAATCAAAACCTTATAACTCCAATAAACCACACTATATTCTACCAAATATCAAGCTTCTGTTCAATAAACACTTACTGACACTACGAATGTCTACTGCAAATTTTTCAACTGCTATTGTTGAAATGCTACTGCAGCCATATTCTGAATGATTAACAGAGAAATAATCAAAGAAGCAATTACTTCTACCTTTACCTTCCTTGTACTTTGCTTTTAAAAATGTTTACAAATTAAACTTTTTCCACATACCTTTTGCCGTAAGCTTTTAACAGATTCCTTAATATATGGCAAATCTTTGGATGGGACATATTTTTCAAGCATTTTATCAAAGTTTGGATGACACATCATAAGGAAAAGCATTTTTCGACCATAGTACCTATGGACATTTGAGAAATATGCAAATAATTTTATATACCTTAACAAACTCAATTTCTATCCTTAGATGCAATTTTTTTTTCAATAGAAAAAAACTGTCAATATCAAGATTGTCATCCCTATTTTAAACAAGCCACTGAAATGTAGTTATACTAACTGAACTGGAGTATAACATTCTCCTGTCCCTCACTTTTATTTATTTATTTTTTTGGCTTATAAAAAACCCACTTTATTTTTTTTTCCGGATTATTCACCTGTTCTTTCTTTTTTTTTTTATTATGTTATGTTAGTCACCATACAGTACATCATTAGTTTCTGATGTAATGTTCCATGATTCATTGTTTGTGTATAACACCCAGTGCTCCATGCAGTATGTGCCCTCGTTAATACCCATCATCAGGCTAACCCATCCCCCCACCCCCTTCCTCTCTAAAACCCTCCGTTTGTTTCTCAGGGTCCATAGTCTCTCATGGTTCGTCTCCCCCTCTGATTTCCCCCCTTCATTCTTCCCTTCTTTCTCCTAATGTCCTCTATGCTATTCCTTATGTTCCACAAATAAGTGAAGTGAAACCATATGATAATTGACTTTCTTTACTTATTTCACTTAGCATAATTTCCTCCAGTCCCATCCATGTTGATGCAAAAGTTGGGTATTCATCCTTTCTGATGGCTGTTTAATATTCCATTGTATATATGGACCACATCTTTATCTATTCGTCTGTTTGAAGGGCATCATGGCTCTTTCCACAGTTGGGCTATTGTTGTCCCTCACCTTTAAAAAACACTATAGCTTCAGATCTTCAAATCTCTTCTTGGAAAGCCAAATGTTTGAATTCTATTTTTCAGGCACCCTTGGGTCCATATCAAGGCTGGTATTTGGCAGAACTGTGAGTTAGGAGAAATCTGTCTTTATCCTGGGCTCCTTGCTCACTGGGCAAGAGGTTGCTGGTGAGAGGTGTTCTGACCTAAGTCAACCTTCCCTAGGTTCTGTATTTCCTATATTTCTTACCCTCACTTTTTTCCCCCCTGCCAAAACCTATCTGGGTTCCAATTCTTCAAAAACCTATTCTCTGCTACCTAAAACATACCCAAAGTTAGTTGGTAAATCATGGATGATATATAATGAATGTGTAATGCTCTCCAAACTAGGTTTTTTTTTTTTATGGTAGTATATAAATTTAAAAATAATTCTTTTTTTAAAAAAATAATTCTTTTTAGGATAAAACCTTAAGCCAAGATATTGTGATAGAACCAAAGATATCATGGGTATTGGAGATATTTTTGGATAGAGGAATCTTATAGTACCTTATAATTATACCATATTACTATTCTTCAAAGCGGCTTGGCCCTAAAATTAATTAGTTATGCTTTTTCTTACAACTTGGAATATATGGGACTAGGAAGAACCAGAGAAGGCAAGTCTTGCAGGGTAGGGAGAAGGTACAGAATGATCTCAGGAATATGTGTATCAATGAGGCTCCTTCAACTGTAATGAAATTACAGAAAGGGAGGTAGGTAGTATCAGAAAATAAAATTACTGTTCTCTCCTCAGAATCAGAATAAGGTTACACCTTGATAAGTAGTTCATAATCAGTTATAGTTTCAAAGATGATTGTAACTTTTAGCCCAGAACATTAAGGACTGTAGGTCCATCACAGGCCCTAATGATATGAGAACGGCTAAAACAAACAAGTAAACAAGGAATAGGGACACTAAATGTGAGAAATAGTAAAACTATAAAGTTGTAAACATTCTATAATTTTAAAACTTCAAATAAGAAATCAAGAAATGACAAAACGGATTAGAAGAATTACCATGTCATTAACGAAAGGTTAAGATGTATACACAACAACCATTATGAATCTTTTTTTGTTCCTAACTAGTGTATTATGATCCAAAGTCTAAATTGTTTTGAACTTTACTGTGGTATACATAACTTCCAAAATGGCTCCCCAAAGAGCAGGACTGCTGCAATTTGTAAATATGAGATATAACTTCCAGGATTATGTTATGTTATATGGTAGAGTTGACTCTTAAGATTTTCTGGGTGGACCTAATCTAATCATACAGGTCCTTAAAAGCAGAGAGCTTTCTATAGCTGGTAGCAGAGGAAATCAGAGAGCTCCTAAGCACAAGGGGGATTCAACATACTTTTGCTGGGTTGAAGATGGAGGGGGCTGCACAAGAAGGAATTCGCGGGTGACCTTAAGGAGCTGAGAGAGGACCCTGGTTGAAAACCAGCAAAGAAATAGAGACCTAAGTCCTATAACTACAAGGAACTGAATTTGGCCAACTACCAAAATGAGTTTGGAAGCAAATTCTTCTATAGAACATCTAGATAAGAGCTCAGCATTATCATTACCTTGATTATAATCCTCGAAGACCCCAAGCAGAGAAAGCAGTTGAGCCATGCAAGACTTCTTTTTTTTTTTTTTTTTAAAGATTTTATTTATTTGAGAGAGAGAATGAGAGAGAGAGAGCACATGAGATGGGGGAGGGTCAGAGGGAGAAGCAGACTCCCTGCTGAGCAGGGAGCCCAATGCGGGACTCGATCCCGAACTCCAGGATCATGACCTGAGCCGAAGGCAGTCGCTCAACCAACTGAGCCACCCAGGCACCCAAGACTTCTAACTTAAAGAACAGTAAGCTAAAAAAGTCTGTGTTGCCTTAAACCACTATGTTTGTGGTAATTTGTTACTCAGTAATAGAAAATGAATACATTGACTTTCTATATTAGCTTCTGGTATAATGATTTCCATAAGATTAACTCTAGTTACCTAAAGTCATGGATATATTTGTCTTAAAATGTTAATTTTATATCCTTCTTTACTTTAGTCTGTATGAACTCAGACCCTCCCTCCCACTTTTAATCTATCTTCATATGTAACTGCCATAAATTTTTAGGTTTTATATGGGACATTATCAATCACCTAGTCCCACCTTCCTAATTTTACATACGAGAAAACTTAGGCTAACAGACATTAGATAATTTGCTTAAGAGCAAAAAGTGATTGGGGCTAGGAATTGAACCTAGGCTCTTGACTATATCCAAAATTTCTGTGACCAATAGAGAAAGGGGCACCTAGCTGGGTCAGTTGATGGAGCATGTGACTCTTGCTCTTGGGGTTGTGAGTTCGAGCCCCACGCTGGGCACAGAGTTTATTTAAAAAAAAAAAAGTTACCAATACAGTGATGTACCATCCACAGCTTAATTATTTTGTCATTTTTCTCTGACTGTTCTTAACATTCATAGAATTGTTCTTCAAGCACAGCAATCAGAAATTTATGGGATTTTCTTTTTTTGGGGGGGGGATTTTCTAAGTGCAGCTATCTCATGTTTCAGGAGACAATATGTTATCCATTTCGCTTCCTGTATTTTTCATGTGCACCTATTTCCTTGATTTCACCTGATTGCTTGGAAAATATATCATTTCCCCTAAGTGCATTACCTTACATTTGCCCACAATGAAGTTCTTCTGCCACTTTTCTGCCCACACATATAGTCTTCTGCTGTTTTCATGCAGTTCATCCCTGTGACATGGCATCTCACTACCCAGAAGTATGTAGTGTCATCTGTAAATTTGGAGAATTCACTGTGCACTCCCTCAAGATCATTTACAAATTGGTTAAATAAGTCCATCTGCCCAGCACCAATCCCTGGGGACCCCACTTGTCCATTTAGAAAAAAATGTTTATTCTTTTTTAACCTTCGCTGCCTACTTTTAACCCTTATCCTAACAGATTCAGCAAATATTATTAGCAGCTATTCACCTGGTTTCTTGTGAACTGTCCTGAGCAAACTTGGCAGCAGCTGGTAATATGCGGTCAGCCATATCCTTTGTTCCAGATAAAATACGCTCTGGTTCCATAAATTCCACAACATCTGATAAGTGCTGGGCTGTACATCTTCTTACTGCAATGTGTAAATGGCTACAAGAAAACATGATCAATTGAAACAAAGTTGAAGTATGAACTAAAGATACACTTTTAAAGTTCTGCTTCTCCCTCTGACCCTATTCCCTCTCTGCTCTCTCTCTCATTCTCTCTCTCTCTCTCAAATAAATAAATAAAATTAAAAAAAAAAAAAAGACAGTTAAAGTTAAGTGATTAAACTATTCCTAACCCTCAACAATCATCCTTGGAAGCTAAAATGACAAATTACATTGTTACCCATCCCCAAGAAGTTAAAAACAAAACAAAACTCATAATCACTGACATTTATTTAGTTCCAGGTCTATGAATATAAGTAAAATTACAAGAATAACAGTATTATTTTCCTTGTACGCTCTGTACCTAATATGATGTTTATCACCTAAGAATTATTTGTTTTTTGACTAAAATAATACTGAAGTTTGCTTGTGTTTTTCCTACATCGCAGACTGCAAACAATTGTATTTTTAGTTTAAGGACATATCAAGATTATTTTGAATATTACCTTTGTCCTCCATTGATAAGAGAAACAATTGCACGTGCAGGAGTTACATTACTGACCATAGCTCTCAGTGCTTTGTCAACATCTTCTCTTATAAATGTATTTGACTCTCCAGCCTTGTGCAACAAAACTTTTACTGTAGTATCTAGTTCTTGATCCATGTTTTTTTTCAGGTAAGTGAAAAGATCACTTAAACAGACCACAGCAGCACGAGAAACTCCAGAGCGTAAATTTTTCACCTAAAAAAAATTTCCAAAATGTACATTTTGCTGATATTCTGAAAGAAAATCAGTAATAATGACTTTGAAACCAAATTTACTATTCAAGTAACATGTTTTAATACATATTATCTTATGTCCTAAAAATTATCATTTAATAAAAATTTTTAAAAGTTGCGAAGTAAGGTATGAGCTACTTTTTTTTTTAAAATAAAATTTACCCTTGATGTGGGGCTCGAACTCATGACCCTGAGATCAACAGATGCATGCTCTCCTGACTGAGTCAGCCAGGAGCCCCATACAGGAACTACTTGTAACTATATACAAGCCTACTTATATCATTTAGTACAGAGGTATTCTTTTTTTTTTTTTTTTTTTGAGAGAGAGCACAAGAGAAGGGTAGGGGCAGAAGGAAAGAAAGAGAATCTTAAACAAGCTCAACCCTCAGTGTGGAGCCCCATGCAGGGCTCAATCTCACAACCCTGAGATCATGACCTGAGCCTAAATCAGGAGTTGGATGCTTAACCGATTGAGCCACCCAGACGCCCCTAGTACAGAGATATTTTTTAAAGGTCAAGTTAACGTGGCATATTTATTCTTTGTTATCCAAACAATCCTTAACTCAGCTGAAAAATAAGTTTACCTCTTGAACTACTGCAAAATTTGTTTCATGCAACTTGGTGTTCAATATTTCAGAATGAAAAGCAGCTAAGCACCTAATAAAATTCAGTCCTTCAATTTTCTTCTCCCTACGGGAAAAAGAAACAAATAACAAAATCACTTATTAAATGGGGCTCAACTGGAACAGGATCTCAGATGTCTTCTTCTGTTTGTATGAAATACTGCCACTGAGGAGATTTTGCTTATTTTTCCATATCATTTAGGAATTTCAAATAAAAATGTAAAGTTTTATTTGCTTCAATAGTTCTCTTTCATGATTCAAAAGATCTTTTAAGAGCTAAAATCCATTGACAGTCACACTAAGTTCATGCTTTGTAAATAAAAAGAAGTATTTCCTCCCTAGTGATAAGAATGTCATATTCTTTCTAGAGAACAGAAGGGAAAGGAATGGCAAACAAAAGGTGAGGGAAGCAATAAAACAAAAATGGAAGGAGAAAAGTAACTACCTTATTGGCAAATATATAATCCAACAGCAGAAAACCACCAACAGACGGTTCTGTAATTTGTATTTTTCTTTCATTATCTGACCTAATGAGCCAGAGAAGGGTAGGTGGATACTAACAAGAGAGTGGGATTCAAGTGGGATTTAGGTATAACATTTCCAACGTGATGATTTTCATCTTATAGGTTTGAAAAATGAGAGCCAAAATTAGTTTCCTTAGTAATATTATAATACTTCCTTAGGTAATATTGATGGCAGTCATTTTTTTAAACATTTACATTCCCTGAATGAATTATGGAAAACTCAGAGAAAAGAAAAGACCTAAGAATCCAAGGTAGCAAGAGTAAACCTACTTAAATACCTGTCTGGTTGCAAATTCTCATTTTTTTGGATAAGCATAAAAAAACAATTAATTTAAATGCAGAAACAACCCAATTCTTTTTTTTTTTTTTTAAGATTTTATTTATTTATTTGGCAGAGAGAGACACAGTGAGAGAGGGAACACAAGCAGGGGGATGGGAGAGGGAGAAGCAGGCTTCCCGCTGAGCAGAGAGCCCTGACGCGGGGCTCGATCCCAGGACCCCGGGATCATGACCTGAGCCGAAGGCAGACGCTTAACCTCTGAGCCACCCAGGCGCCCCAAATGCAGAAACAACCCAATTCTATACACACAAATAACAGATAGTACAGTCAAGAGAGAGGAAGGCAGGAAAAGAAATTAAGAAAAAGTGGCTAAAATTTTTCCAAATTTGATTCAAACTATAAACTCTCAGATCTAAGAACAACCCCAAACAGATAAAACAAAAAAAGCACAACATGGAACATCATAATCAAATTGCTAAGAGAGGTGTTAAAATAAAATATAAGGTCAGGTAGCAATATTAAAAATAAAGCAGTATAAGAAGATGGGGAAAAGAGCACTATTTTAGTTAAAATCATGAGAGAAGGCTTCTCTGAGGAGGTGACATTTGACAGATACCTGCATGAAGAGAGAGAGAAGTCACTGGAAGAATGTTTAAAGAATTAAGTACAAAGATCTTGAGGCATAAATGAGCTTGGGTGTTCAGGAAATAGCCTGATGGCTAGAGTGGGTAAGTAAGGCAGAGCATCCATCCCCCTATAGGGGATGAGGCTACAGAAATAGGCAAGGGACAGAAAATGAAGGACTTTGTAAGCTATAAAAAAGTTTAACAATTCTTTTCTAGTGTTCTAGGGGGCCACTGGAGGGTTTTGTGGGGAGGAATCCCATGTTCTGATTTGAGTTTTAACAGTATCACTCTGGCTGTTGTATGAGGCGAGCAATCATGGAAGCATGCAAACCAGTGATGACACTACTACAGCCAGGTGTGGCTTGGACAACAGGATCAGCAGCTGAGATAAATTCTGAAAATAAAGGAACTGATGGGATGTAAAGAAATGATAAAAAGTCAACACTGACTCGGTATGAACAACGAAATATCCATGGCAGAGTTATTAACTAAGATGATGAACACCGAGGTAGAAGCAGATTTGGGATTAGGAGGGGGGGAAATAAAAACTTGTTTTAAAGATTTTCACATCTATGTTCATGAGATATTTTTTATCTCAGTCTGTAGTTCTTTGTATGGTTTTGGTATCAGGGTGATACTGGCCTCAACGAATAAGATGGAAGTACTCCAGCCTCCTCAGTATTCTAATTTTGTGTAGAATTGATTTCTTCCTTAAATGTTTGGTATAATTCACTAGCAAAACCATCTGAGCCTGGAGTTTTCTTTGTGGAAGTTTTAAATACAATGTCAATGTCCTTAATACGTATTGGATTATAGAGGTTAGCTAATTTTTGTTTTGTTTTTAGTGAGTTTTGGTAGTTTGTGTCTTTCAAAGAATTTATCCATTTCACTAACTTGTTAAATTAGTGCGCATAAAGCTGTTTATCATATTCCTTTATTATTTGTTTAAGAGCTATATGATTAGTAATGATATTTATTTCCTCATTCCTGATATGGTAATTGGTTTTTTCTCTTATTTTGCTTGATCAGTCTGATCACAGGTTTATCAATTGATCTTCTCTAAGAACCTGCTTTTGCTTTCACTGATTTCCTCTACTGTTTGTTTTCTATTTTCTTGATTTCTAGTGCAATCTTTATTATTTCTTTTCTTTAATTATTTTGGGCTTCATTTGCTCTTCTGTTTGTATTCTAAGGTGAAAGCCGAGGTCACTGATATAAAATGTTTCTTCTTCTGTAATATAGGTGTTATGGTGCTATAAATTTCCCTCTAATTTAGCTGCATCTCACAATTTTCATGTTTCATTCTTAATTTCATTAAATTCAAAATTCTTTGGGGGTGCCTGGGTGGCTCAGACACATGATCTTGGCTCAGGTCTTGATCTCAGGGTCATGAGTTCAAGCCCCACATTGGGCTCCACGCTGGGCATGGAGCCTACTTAAAAAAAAAAAAAAAAAAGATTAAAAAATACTTTCTAATTTCCCTTTTGCTTACTTTCTTAGATCCATGAGTTGCTTCTAAGAGTGCTAATTTCAAGACATTTGGAGATTTTCCAAGTATCTGTTCCTAACTTCTAATTTAATTCCACCATAGTCAGAGAACCAAATCTGTATAATCTGAATCCTTTTATTTTATGTTCCAAAATATTCTTCTTGGTAAATGTTCCTTATGGACTCAAAAAGAATGTAAATTCTGCTATTTTAGGTGGGAGTATTCTATAAATGCCAATGAGGTCAAGTTGGTCAATCAGTCTTCTATATCCTCAATGATTTTCTTTCTTCTAGTTCTATCAATTAATGAGAGATGGTTGTTGAAGTTCCAACTGTAATTGTGAATTTATTTATTTCTTCTTGCAGTTCTACCAGTTTCTGCTTAATGTATTCTGAAGCTCTGTATATGATAAATAAAATCAGGATCACTTGATGAACTGACCTTTTTATCATTATCATTATAAAATGACCCTTTTTATTCCTAATGTGAAATACAGAATTCTAAGATGGTACCCATGATTCCTGCCGCCTGGCATATACCACCTCATAATACCCTTCCCTTGTGTGTGACTATAAGGGGATGTTATTTCCCTCAATCATGTTACATTATATGGCAAAAGGGATTTTGCAAGTTGTCCTACAGCTCACTGATTCTCTGTTTATGTCTTTCCTCTAGTTTCTTCAACACATGGAATAGAATTATAACTATAGGTATCATGTCCTTGTCTACTAATTCTATCATCTGTATCATTTTTGGATTGGTTTCAACAGTTGCCTTTTTTTCTTCTCATTATGGGTTGTATTTCCCTGCTGCTTTGCATGCCTGGTAATTTTTTATTGGATGTCAGTCATTATGCATTTTACCTGAGATATTTCTGTATTCCTAAATTATTTTTGACCTTTGCTCTGGGATGGAGTTAGGTTATTTGATAAGTTTGATCCTCTTAGGCCTTGCTTTATATTTTGTTGGGCAGGGCCAAACTAGTCTTTAGCCTAAGGTTTATTTTTCCACACTAAGAAGCAAAACTCTTTTGAATTTTCTACTTGATGCCCTGTGAATTATGAGGTTTTCCACTGTGCTGATGGGAATAAGAAGTATTCAGGGACTGTTCCCTGTAACTTCATTCTAGCTCTGTCTTCAGGTAATTTATTTATATTTATGCCCTGACTAGTATTCAGCTAAATATTTGAGAAGAATCCTCTGAAGGTCTCCAGAGTTCTTTGTGAAGCTCCATCCTCTCTGGCACTCTGCCTTGCAAACTCTAGTTACCTTGGCATTCCCAAACTCCCAGCTCCATTTCCATCTCTGCTGGTACTTACATAGTTTTCCCTTCTTTGAGCTGTCACCTGGAAACTCTGCAGGTTAAGCGAGGGCAATTATAGAGTTCACCTTGTTTGTTTCCTGTGCTCAAGGATCACTAATTTTCATTGCCTACTGAGGAATATTTTGAAAACCACTGTTTCATATATTTTGTACGGTTTCTTTAGTTCTTTCAGATGTGTAGGCAAATCTTATGCCTGTTAATCCACCTTGGCAGGAAGTGGGAAATCAAGAGTTCTATTTTGGATATGTTAAATTTAAAATGTCTATAAGCATCAAAGTGAAAATGTCAAGCAGGCAGATGGATTATAAGTTTAGAGCTCAAGAAGATACCTAGAATCGAGACATACATTGAGTTGAATATAATCATTTAGGAAAGGGGTTAGCAAATTATGACTCACAGACCAAATCTGACCCCATCAGAAATTTTAATAAGTAGTTTATTGGAACACAGCTGTACCTATTTGTCTTCTTACTAAGGCTGCTTTTTATTTATTTTTTAAAGATTTTATTAATTGACAGAGAGAGACACAGAGAGAGAGGGAACACAAGGAGAGGGAGTGGGAGAGGGAGAACAGGCTTCCCAGGGAGCAGGAAGCCCGATGCGGAGCTCAATCCCAGGACCCTGGGATCATGCCCTGAGCCGAAGGCAGACACTTAACGACTGAGCCACCCAGGCGCCCCCTAAGGCTGCTTTTACACTACAACAGCAAAGTTGAGGAGTTGTGATAAAGACATCTGGCCTGCAAAGCCTAAAACATTTCGTATCTGGCTCTTTACAGAAAACGATCGCCACCCTGGATCTATGGAATAAATGGAGATAGAGAATGCCAGTGGATTGTATCCTGGAGCATGCCTCAATTCTGAAGTCAAATAAAAAAAAGGAATAAGAACATACTAAAACAAAAAAAGAACCAAGAAACTAGAAGGGATTGTGTCAAATGCTAAAAGGCTAAGATGACCACTAATAAATAACCAATGCAGATATAGCAAGATGATCACTTTCATAGTTTCAGTGATGTGGTTGTCACGGTGGGGAGGGCTGAGAGCCAATTAAAGGTTGAGAAGAGAATATGAGGTGAAAAAATAGACCATGAGTCAGCCTTTGTGAGGACTTGGCTAAAAAAGGGGAATAAGGGAAATGTGAAGATGTGCAGTTTAGGGAGTTTTTTTTTTAAAATAGGGGATATAGCACATTTTCATGTTTTTTTTTAAAGATTTTATTTATTTAATTGACAGAGAGAGAGAGAGACAGAGAGAGAGGGAACACAAGCAGGGGGAGTGGTAGAGGGAGAAGCAGGCTTCCCGCCGAGCAGGGAGCCTGATGTGGGGCTCGATCCCAGGACCCCGGAATCATGACCTGAGCCGAAGGCAGTCGCTTAACCAACTGAGCCACCCAGGCGCCCCTATAGCACATTTTAATGTTGATGAATATGGTGTAGCAGAAGTAAAACTGAGGATATGGAGGATGGGGCTAGAGAGAGATACTGAAGGAGCAAGGCAGGAAATGGGATAGTATATGCTCCAGGAGGGCTGGGCTGGGAGGCTGTTGCAGCTATGCTAGTAACAGATAAGTATTTCCAGGATTGTTATAGAATGTATTTCACAGAGAAACACTTGGAGGAATGGTGAGATTTGTATTCTAGTACCAAAAGGTTTATGTAACCCATAATAAAGCTAAACTCTGTCCTTATGGTATATAAATTATAACTGGTAGTAATACAGTGCTATTAGGACCAGAGTTCAGTTACATTAATAAGTTGAAAAAAACTCAGACTAAGAACTATAATAATCATTTCTATGACTATTTTAATAGGGAATGTTTCAAAGTTTTTAATAAAAAATATTCAGAAAACTTCTGGAACTCAGCTTAGTTTTAAGTTAAGGATGGTGAACTTACCAATCCTCGTCAGCTAAAAGCCTAAGGGCTTCTGTCAGTGCTATTTCTGGTTTGGAAAATGGCCGTAGTTCTGATGTATCCATTATTTCAGGACTATGAGTGACAGAAGACATCCTTTCTTTATATTGTGGAATGTCTCCAGGAGATGCTTCACCTAAAACAAAAAAACCAGATTAAATAAAGTATCAGAGAACTCTGATAAAAATGATATTCTGAATACAGATTCTATGAATATTTCTTATGGAAACAAGTATTATCAGTTTAGTCTTTAATAAAATTGTAGTACCTGGACACCAAAGCTATTTAAAACTTTACTTCTTATATACAAAATTATTTAATTATGTCAAATATAAATATATAAGTGGTTTTTCCAGTCATGAGTCCTATAATAAAGTCTAGTTTTAAGAGCTAAAAATCAGTAAAGAATATTATGATCCCATTTTATAAAAACGTGGATATATACCCGTTTTACTATACAAATGACAAATGAAAATGAAGCTTCATAGCATCTGTGTAAAGAACTCTTTTTTTTTTTAAGATTTTATTTCTTCTAGAGAGAAGAGCACGTGAGCACACGTGCAGCGGGAGGAGCAGAGGGAGAGACAAGCAAACTCCATGTTCAGTATGGAGCGTGCTGGGGGGCTGGATCTCAGGAACCAGAGATCATGACCTGAGCTGAAACCAAGAGTCATATACTTAACCGACTGAGCCACCCAGGAGTCCCTGTGTAAAGAATTCTAGCCGAATTCCAAAAATACCAATTTTTGGCTACCCGCATAGAACTAATGGTCTTTTGAAAATCCTAAGACCATGTGTGGTAATGAAAGCAATATTTTTTCCATAATCAAACATTTACCAACCATATTCCAGATGTAAGGCATTGCCCTGGACGTTAGAGAAACAAATCATTATCACTGAGTGCTCAGGGTAATGCCCTGGGGGCACTGAACAATGCAAGATACCTATATTGGAGGTATTAGAAAGGAAAAGATCAAATAAAATGTGTGTTGGCATTTTTTAAAAAGATTTTATTATGTATGTATTTATTTGAGAGAGAGAGTGGGCATGTGTGCAAGCGGGGGGGAGGTGGCAGGGGGAAAGGGAGAGGGAAAGAATCTCAAGTTCAGCACAGAGCCCCATGCAAGGCTTGATCCCATGACCCTGAGATCATGACCTGAGCCGAAATCAAGAGTAGGACACTTAACCGACTAAGCCAACCAGGTGCCCCTGCATTGGCTTTTGTAAATGGATAAAGATTTATTAGTTATTTTTCCATGTTAAGAGATATATTTTTTAAAGATTATTTATTTATTTATTTGAGAGAAAGAGAGAGAGCACAGAGGGAGAGTGAAAGGGAGAAGCAGACTCCCCACTGAGCAGAGAGCCTGACATAAGGCTCCATCCCAGAACCCTGAGATCATGACCTGAGCTGAAGGCAGACACTTAACTGACTGAGCCACCCAGACGCCCAAGAGATATTCTTAAAAAGGTAATACTAAACACTAGAAAATGACTATCATAAATGTATTTATCAATTTGTACTATTTGCTATTATCTATACTTCTTTCCCTACTGTTACCAGTAGCAACCAGTATTCTTACAGCTTAGGTAAGAAGTTCTGTGGGTTTTTCTCCCCCTAGATTTTATGACATTAATAGTGAAATTATTTGAGAATGTTAGCAAATAGGGTTAAACTTCACAAATGCCTATATTTAACTGGTTCTTAGGGACATGTTTAACCAGTAATTTTACAGGTCAACATCTGTCATCAGTCATACTCAGCAATTATTAGTTTTGAGAATACAGCGTTTTAAAAAGTTTTCTAAACTTCTTGCGTTATAAAAGAAATACAAACTAGGAAGAATCTAACAGTCATCTAGTTCAAATCTCTTTTACATTTATCTTTGAGAGATGTTAAGTATGGTATCCAAGATCACATTTATATATTTATTTTTTCTGCACTTCTGGGTTTTTTGTTGATACCTAGACTTCAGACCCAACATAAATTTTAAAATGTTTATGATAGTTGTTTATTTTTTGGTAACATTAAAGAATAATAAACAAAAATAATAAGCGATAATTCTTAATGTTTATTATAGTTCATGAGATTTTTTTACTTCAATCTCTGATTTTTCCAAGTTGCTACTATACCTAAGACCTATTTAATACTTTTATTTATTTTTTATTTATTTTTAACTTTTTTAAATAAACGAGTATGACATTTGTGAACTTTTAATTTTTTTTCCATTTGTTCATTTATTTTTTTTAACTTTTTAAAATATTTTCTTTTTATTTTTTTCCCTGCATTTGGTAAACTTTATGTGGAATATTAAACGTTCCCAAGATATGTAAAATTTTTTTTCAAATATCAAGCAGTTTGTTCTTTTTATATTTTATTTATTTTATTATTTTTTAATTATTATTATGTTCTATTAGCCAGCATATAGTACATCATTAGTTTTTGATGTAGTGATCAACAATTCATCAGTTGCATATAACACCTAGTGCTCATCACCACATGTGCCCTCCTTAATCCCCATCACTTGGTTACCCCATCCCCCACCCCCCTCCCTTCTATAACCCTCAGTTTGGTTCCAGAGTCCAGAGTCTCTCATGCTTTGTCTCCCTCTCTGATTTCTTCCCAGTTTTCCCTCCCTTGCCCTGTAGTCCTCCATGCTATTCCTTATGTTCCACATATGAGTGAAACCATATGATAATTGTCTTTCTCCTCTTGAGTTATTTCACTTAGCATGATGTCCCTCAAGTTCCATCCATGTTGATGCAAATGGTGGCTATTCATCCTTTCTGATGGCTGAGAAATATTCGATTGTATATGTGAACCACATCTTCTTTATCCATTCATTTGTTGAAGGGCATCTTGGCTCCTTCCACAGTTTGGCTGTCGTGGACATTGCTGCTCTGAACATTGGGGTGCATGTGCCCCTTCTTTTCCCCAGGTCTGTATCTTTGGGGTAAATACCCAGTAGTGCAATTGCTGGGTCATAGGGTAGCTCTATTTTTAATGTCTTGATGAACCTCCTTACTGTTTTCCAGAGTGGCTACCCTAGCTTGCGTTCCTACCAACAGTGTAAGAGGGTTCCCCTTTCTTCACATCTTCATCACACTTGTTGTTTCCTGTCTTATTAATTTTTGTCATTCTAACTGGTGTAAGGTGGTATCTCATTGTGGTTTTGATTTGTATTTCCCTGATGCTGAGTGATGTTGAACATTTTTTCATGTGTCTGTTAGCCATTTGTATGTCTTCTTTGGAAAAATGTTCATGTCTTCTGCCCATTTCTTGACTAGATTATTTGTTTTTTGGGTGTTGAATTTGAGAAGTTCTTTATAGATCTTGGATACCAGCCCTTTATCTGTAATGTCATTTGCAAATATCTTCTCCCATTCTGTGGGTTACCTCTTAGTTTTGTTGACTGTTTCCTTTGCTGGGCACAAGGTTTTTATCTTGATTAAGTCCCGAAAGTTCATTTTTGCTTCTGTTTCCCTTGCCTTTAGAGACATATCTTGAAAGAGGTCGCTGTGGCCAATGTCGGAACAGGTTACTGCCTATGTTCTCCTCTAGGATTTTGATGGATTCCTGTCTCACATGAGGTCTTTCATCCATTCTGAGTTTATCTTTGTGTATGGTGTAAGAGAATGGTCGAGTTTCATTCTTTTGTATATAGCTGTCCAATTTTCCCAGCACCATTTATTGAAGAGACTGTCTTTTTTCCATTGGATATTCTTCCCTGATTTGTTGAAGATTAGTTGACAATAGAGTTGAGGGTCCATTTCGGGGATCTCTATTCTGTTCCACTGATCTATGTGTCTGTTTTTGTTCCAATACCATGCTGTCTTGATGATCACAGCTTTGTAATAGAGCTTGAAGTCAGGCATTGTGATGCCCTCAGCTTTGGTTTTCTTTTTCAACAATCCCTTGGCGATTTGGTGTCTTTTCTGGTTCCATACAAATTTTAGGATTCTTTGTTCCAGCTCTGTGAAAAATGTCGATGGTATTTTGATAGGAATTGCAATGAAAGTGTAGACTGGTCTGGGCAGCATAGACATTTTCACAATGTTTATTCTTCCAATCCATGAGCATGGAATGTTTTTCCATCTCTTTGTGTTTTCCTCCATTTCTTTCATAAGTGTTCTATAGTTTCTAGAGTATAGATCCTTTACCTCTTTGGTTAGGTTTATTCTTAGGTATTTTATGGTTTTTGGTGCTATTGTAGAAGGAATCAATTCCTTAATTTCTCTTTCTTTGGTCACATTGTAAGTGTATAGAAATGCAACTGATTTCTGTGCACTGATTTTGTATCCTGCCACATTGCTGAATTGCTGTATGAGTTCTAGCAATTTTGGGGTGGAATCTTTTGGGTTTTCCACATAGATTATCATGTCATCTGTAAAGAGAATTTGACTTATTTGCCAATTTGAATGCCTTTTATTTCTTTTTGTTGTCTGTTACTGAGGCAAGGACTTCTAGTACTATGTTGAACACAAGTGGTGAGAGTGGGGCATTCCTGTCATGTTCCTGACCTTAAGGTAAAAGCTCTCAGTTTTTCCCCATTGAGAATGATATTCGCTGTGGGATTTTCATAGATGGCTTTTATGATATTGAGGTATGTTCCCTCTATCCCTATATTCTGAAGAGTTTTAATCAGGAAAGGATGCTGTATTTTGTCAACTGATTTTTCTGGGCCTATTGAGGATTATATGGTTCTTGTCCTTTCTTTTATTTATGTAGTGTATCACATTGATTTGCCAATGTTGAACCACCCTCGTATCCCAGGAATAAACCCCACCTGGTCGTGTAGATAATCCTCTTAATGTACTGTCAGATCCTATTGGTTAGGATCTTGTTGAGTATTTTGGCATCCATGCTCATCAGGGATACTGGTCTGTAATTCTTCTTTTTGGTGGGGTCTTCATCTGGTTTTGGGATCAGGGTAATGCTGGCCTCATAGAACGAGTTTGGAACTTTTCCTTCCATTTCTATTTTTTGGAACAGCTTCAGTAGAATAGGTATGATTTCTTCTTTATATGTTTCGTAGAATTCCTCTGGGAAGCCATCTGGCCCTGGACTCTTGTTTTTTGGGGAGGTTTTTGATTACTGCTTCAATTTCGTTACTGGTTATTGGTCTATTCAGAATGTCTCTTTCTTCCTGTTTCAGTCTTGGTAGTTTATAAGTTTCCAGGAAGGCATCCATTTCTTCCAGGTTGCTTAATTTGTTGGCATATAGTTGCTGGTAATAATTTCTAGTAATTGTTCTATTTCCTCAGTGTTAGTAGTGATCTCTTCCCTTCATGATTTTATTGATCTGGGTCCTTTCCCTTTTCTTTTGGATAAGTCTGGCCAGAGGTTTATCGATCTTATTAATCCTTTTAAAGAACCAGCTTCTAGTTTCATTGATTGGTTCTACCATTCTTTTGGTTTCTATTTCATTGACTTCTGCTCTAATCTTTATTATTTCTCTTCTCCTGCTTGGTTTAGGTTTTATTTGCTGTTCTTTCTCCAGCTCCTTTAGGTGTAAGGTTGGCTTGTGCATTTGGGATTTTTCTACTTGTTTGAGAGAGGCTTGGATGACTATGTATTTCCCCCTTAGGGCAGCCTTTGCAGTATCCCATAGGTTTTGGACCAATGTGCTTTCATTTTCATTTGTGTCCATGAATTTTTAAAATTCTTCATTAATTTCCTGGTTGACCCAATCATTACTTAGCAGTATGCTCTTTGACTTCCAAGTGTTTGAATTCCTTCCAAATTTTTTCTTGTGATTGAGTTCCAGTTTCAAAGCATTGTGGTCTGATAACATGCAGGGAATAATCTCAGTCTTTTGATATGGGTTGAGACCTGATTTGTGATGCAGTATGTGGTCTATTCTGGAAAATGTTCCATGTGCACTTGAGAAGAATGAGTATTCTGTTGTTTTAGGATGGAATGTTCTATATATATCTAAGAAGTCCATCTGGTCCAATGTGTCATTCAAAGCTCATTTCTTTGTTGATCTGCTTAGATGGTCTGTCCATTGCTGAGAGTGGAGTGTTAAGGTCTCCAACTATTAATGTATTATTATCAATATGATTCTTTATTTTGGTTAATAGTTGGTTTATGTAGTTGGCTGCTCCCATGTTGGGGATATAGATATCTACAATTGTTAGATTTTCTGGTTGGATAGACCCTTTAAGTATGATACAGTGTCCCTCTACATCTCTTATTACAGTCTTTGGTTTAAAATCTAGTTTGTCTGATATGAGAATTGCTACCCCAGCTTTCCTTTGAGGTCCATTGGCATGATAAATGGTCCTCCATCCCCTCACTTTCAATCTGGAGGTGTTTTTAGGTCCAAAATGAGTCTCTTGTAGACAGCATGTGGATGGGTCCTGTCTTGTTATCCAATCTGAAACCCTATGCCTTCTCATGGGAGCACTGAGGTTGTTCACGTTGAGAGTAACTATTGAAAGATATGAATTTAATGCCATCGTATTGCCTGTAAAGTCCCTGTTTCTATAGATTGTCTCTGTAAGTTTGTGGTCTATATTACTCTTGGGGTCTTTCTTCTTTTATAGAATTCCCTAATTATTTCTTACAGGGCTGGCTTGGTGGTCACATATTCTTTCCCTTTCTGCCAGTCCTGGAAGCTCTTTATCTCTCCATCTGTTCTGAATGACAGTCTTGCTGGATAAAGTATTCTTGGCTGAATGTTCCTCTCATTTAGTACCCTGAAAATGTCTTGCCAGACCTTTCTGGCTTGCCAGGTCTCTGTGGATAGGTCTGATGTTATTCTGATGTCCCTGCCTCCGTACATAAGAAATCTCTTCCCCCTAGCTGCTTTCAGGATAGCTTCCTTGGCTCTAAGATTTGCAAGTTTCACTAGTATATGCCAGGATGTTGGTCTATTTTTATTTATCTTGGGAAGGGTCCTCTCTGCCTCTTGGACATGAATGCTTGTTTCCTTCCCCAGATTAGGGAAGTTCTCAGCTGTGATATGCTCAAATATACCTTCGAGTCCTCCCTCTCTCTCCACCCCCTCAGGAATCCCAATAATTCTAACATTGGAATGTTTCATGGTGTCATTGATCTAAGTCTGTTCTCATGGGCTTCTAGATGACTATCCTTATCCTCCTCAGCTTCCTTCCTTTCTATCAGCTTATCTTCTAGATGATTAATTCGTTCTTCTGCCTCATATACCCCTGGCTGTTAGAGTTTCCAGTTTAGACTGCATTGCATTCAAAGCATTTTTAAGTTCAGCCTGATTAGATCTCATTTCTGCCCTTAGAGATTCTATATTGTTGCTAATGCTTTTCTCAAGCCTAGCTATTATAAGTGCTAACCTGAAGTCTATCTCTGACATCTTGCTTATATCCATATCCATTAGATCTGTGGCAGAGGATATTGTCTCTGGTTCTTTTCTTTGATGGGAGTTCCTCCTCCTAGTCATTCTGTTGAGGAATGGGTGAGGGAATGTACCGAGTCCAAAATATCAACCACAACCCAAGCAAAATGTTATCTATGAAAAAATCCAAAGTGGTTGAAAGCTACTACAGATACTCCATCAAAGCCAAGATGATCCAAAACATTAAAAAAGAAAGAAAAAAGGAAAAAAAAAAAAGAGGGAGGGCGGGGAGAAAGATTGTAATCTCTCAGAGTGGACACAGAAGGGTGTTCTGCCTGTTCCTGCTTGATTTTTGGTCTCTGTGTTAGAAGAAACTATATCCCAAAATTGCAAAGAAATCAGAACTTACATATATATAGCAAGATAAAATTGAAGAGAGTGAAAAACAGGCTTAATGGGGTATAAATCTATAAAACATATATGTGAAAAAGAAAGTAAAAGTTAAGAAATGACTTAAAAACATAGGCTGGGAAATACAAATCTATTTGAAACGGGAGCAGGGTTTTAAAAAAAAAAGAATAAGAAAAGAAACTAACAAAGAAATTTAAGATTTTAGCCTGAAGTATAAGTGAGCCATGGTGGAATACCTTGAGCTCCCTATATTATTTTCCCCTGGCACTGGAGTTTTAGAGTCCTGTGGGAAATAAGCTTAAACTTATTCCCGTTTTTCCAGTCTGTCTTCTGGGGGAGAGGCCTGCTGCCCTGGGGCTCGGCTTCTCAGGCCTCTTTGCCTGGGTGGAGTTGCCTCACCCCTTGTCAGGGGGATGGGCTTAATGTGAGCTGGGTGGCTGAGCCACTTTTGTTCCTTGGCATCTTTCCGCTTCTCTTTAGAGTGACAGAGCAAACATGGCTTTGCAGGAATCTCTGGCCCAGAGCAGTAATGTCACAGTCCACCCCACTCAACAGATCCTCCAGGTCAATCTGTCTCCCTCTCTGCACACACCAAACTTGTGCATCTTCTGGGGGAGGGGCCTGTTGCGTTGATTCTCAAAGGTCTTCTCCATGCGGAATTGCTCCATCCTCGCTTGGGGCCAGGCTACATAATCTGCTCTGGTTTGCTCTATGTGGCTTTTGTTTCCTGAAGGCTTTCCGCACAGCTTTTGAGGATGAGAAAAAATGGTGGCCTCCCAATCTCCAGCCCTGGAGCCAAAAGCTCGGGGCCCCACTCCTCTGTGAGCCCTCAGAGAAAAGCAGTCAATCACTCTTTTCTCCCAGCTCTCCAGCCGCACTCTGTGCTCACCCAACCTGTGACCAAGTGTTTCTATGTAAGGCACACGGCCCCATTTGGAGTCTCCAAACCCAGCAGGCTGTTGGGGCACGCTCCCACGCCCATCCTCCCAGGGGAAAAAGAGGGCTCTCCCCGGTTCTGCTGCTTGTTGGGCCGCTGCTCAAAGAGCAGGGGCCCAACTGTGCCTCAAATCACAGTTTATGGCAGCCCCGAGCTGAAAGCCCACTCCTGGGCTCACTGATTATAGCTGGCTTACCTGCTCCAATACATGGGAGCTCTGCCACACTCAGGCAGCCCTGGTCTTCCTGTAACCCCGAGGATCCTGAGACCACACTGTCCCAGCGAGGGTTCCACCTCCCACTTAGCTGCCTGAGTCCTATTTAATATTTTTAAAAACAGCACAGGAAACTGGAAGCCACTCTTGGCCAGGTATAGAACCTAGTAAGTACTGAATGGCAGGCTGAATAAGTGATAAATACAATGATTTTTTAAAATCATGATCTAATATAAACCAACTTCACAGTCTCATTTAACCCCAGCTATAAAATGGGATACCTCTCCTTAGTGAAACAGGAATATTTGCAGGGAGCACGGAGGATACCTTTGAGATAATTTGGATATTTATAGGGGCAGGAAACTGAGGCCTATTTGCAGGTCAGAAAATTAAAAGGCAGGCCTGATAATTATGAAGCCAGGTCTGTCTACTGACTCCTACTAGCTTAGTTCTCTTTTTATCACAAATGCACTGTACCATACGTGGTCTCTTGAGCTTAACCAGCATTTGTGACATTATTCTTTACATTTAAACAAGTTACGTACCTGAATCTGAAAACACTAAAGATGGTGGTGACCTTTTTAAACAGGTCCCTCCTTTCAATTGAGGGCTGTAGGCAATATTTTCTAAAGGGGAACTCTCGTTTTTTGATATTCCCACCTCATCTCCAAAAATACTTAAGTCTAAAAGGGAGAAAAACAATCAATCAACTTCCTTCTTTATGAGAAATAATTAATATTTATTATAAAAAAGCTACTGGGTCTTGCAAATTTCAATGTTATGGTTCAACATATTCCATTATTAGCCCTCAGTTAAACCACAGGTACACTAGCTTTAGAATAGTATCAGTTAAATAACACACCAAAAGTTAAATTTCACCTACTTTCAGATGTCATTTTCTCAGTTCTTGTATGTTTCATTCGCTCCCAGGAATTCTGTTCCTTCTTTTCACAATCTTTAATGTCAAAAAGTTCTTTTTCCTCTTTTCTTTTTTGTCTCATCTTGTCATAAGTAGATTTTGAAATAGAAACTTTAATCTGAATGAAAAAGTGGAAATATCAAAGTATTCAGGGAGTTCGATATTTAAAATAACTATCTTCATCTCAGACAACTGTATAAAGACATTAAGTGTCTACATATAAAAAAAATAAACTACATTTTTTAGTCCTTATTTCAGGAATTCTAAAATTGACTAGAATTACATGGTGCTAATATCATAACTAAATTTGTGCCTAAGGATACCAGTCTCTTACTCCTTGAGTGTTCTAGAAAATTGCTGAATATGTAAATACACACACACACGCACACATATATATAAAGTACATGTATAGTATAAAGTACACTAGATACTTTATACCAGAATGAGAATATATTTGCTGGAAAGAAGAATTATCCATTATTTAAATGATTAAGGATCAGAAATTTCAATTATCCTGAGATTTTAAAAATTTTAATCAAAACACCTTCACCACCCCAAATCCGATGAACACAACACAATGATATAATATAGGCTTGAGTTTATCCTAATAATCAACAAATAATCTTACATCCTTTTCATTCTCAACATCAACATATGATGGAATATTTTGCTGGACTGCTCTTCCATAAATTCCTGATGGTGGTTCAATGCTTTGTTTAATTGAAAATGTATCTCCATTTTCCACAGAAGATATCACTGATGGGCTGCAGGCTGCTGGTGCTGAATTTGGACTTCCAAATACACCTGAAATTAACCCACCATCAAATTGCAGTTAAGTATTTACGTGATGTCACTCTAATAACAAAGTTAAAGACAAGCTCTTGACTTTAAGAAATAAACAATATAGTTCATAAGAAAAACATGTTAAATAATAATAAATATAAAAATAAATACCCTAACAGGACAATCATATAGGAGGTATCACTAGACGTTTCACAATATTAAATGAGAACTGCATATTGTAATAATGAGTTTAAATGAAGGAAAGGTTGGTATGAGCTGGGTGTTTAAGATGATTTCAAGAAGCAAGGATTTGAGCTGAGATTGGAAGACACAATGAATTTGGACAGATAAGTGAAGAAGGAAGGGAGGGCACCCTATAAGATGGTAATGCTTAGAAACAGAACTGAACAAGTATAAAGTGTGTATGTGAAATGAATAACTCAGTTTCGTTGGGCACAAGGCAAACAGAGGAATAACAGAAACTAAGTTTGCAAGGGTAGGCTGGAGCCAATCTGAGAAGGGCCTCATATTAACTTAATTGCACTCTACCAAGCAAACAATTAGGAAAGCTTTCAAGCATTTCATCCTATTTCACTATATTTACCAAAAAGAAGATGTGCACCTTCAATGTCTATCATCACATTTTACTTTTTCGATTAAAAAAGAAACTAATTGAGATGGGTTAATTAACTTGATGGGAGAATCCTTTCACAATGTATATGGATATCAAATAATCACCTTAAATACCTTACAATTTTGTCAATTATACCTCAATAAAGTTGAAAAGAAAAAAGAGTTTTAAAGAATATTTGCAAATATATTGTTCAAAGGTCCTCTAGTCCCCCAAAATATATATAACAGGTGTTAATTCTGATTTGTCTAGACTCTGTATGGAAAACAATGAAATTATATTAAATAGTAAGCTGATAAAAAATAAGGACTATTATCTGAACTATGATAAAACTGTCTTAGCTATCCTAAAAGTGTCTTAGAAGTATCTGAGCTGCAGCTGTTACATAATACATCTCTCTGAAAATTACTGACATGAATTTACTTAGTTTTGTTAGAAGACAGAAATGTAAAATTAAGTACTCCTAATTCTTTCAATTTAATAATTTTTTAAAAAGAAAGTTCTAATAAAAAAAGTTCTAATCAACACTTGAATCACACTCTTCTCTGTTCTTTAATGATACCATTTGCTTACATGTGGAGAACACATACAATTAAGCTAAATAACTTGGAAATACCTTTTCCAACAACAACCACTGAGTCTTCTGGTAAGGTATTTGTAGATGTGAAGTCAAGACTGGGAATTTGCTGTAAATTTGATGATGACCCTATAAATGCTAAAGAAACAAACAAAAAAACACCTCACATTTTAATATTGTTTTTATATAGTATTTTAGGATATTGTAACATGGTCCTTTAAAACAGAAATTTTACTTCATACATTGATTTTATAATTTATTTATTCACACTTACTTATTAATTCAATAAATATTTGAAATTAGAATACCTCATCTGGACTAGGAAGTAGAGAGAAAAGAAACCTTCCTTCACCTAGGGAGTTTATACATGTCAGAGTTAAGATTGGGAAAGATATACAAGAAAATAAGCACAGCATGATAATTGAGCAACAAAAGGGTAACCATGAAGGAAAGCCTCTCACTCCTGAAAACAGACCAAGTCAATCTCACAGCAATCTGAAATTTTCTAGGTTAACTTTCACCTCAGTTTGTGATTATTTATTTAATTATTCTCTTACTACTAGACTATAAACTCTATGGAGATAGGACCCATGTCTGGTTTTGATTATCATTCTTTTCCAGAGCCTCTTAGTAGGGCAGATAGTAGGTATTCAATAAATATATGTTAGATGAATGTTACAAGGCAAAAAAAATGGAAAGAAAATATAATTAATTTGGGGTCAACGAATAGAAACCTCAAGTAGACTCAAAAGATGTTAAGTGACAGGGCGCCTGGGTGGCTCAGATGGTTAAGCGTCTGCCTTCGGCTCAGGTCATGATCCCAGGGTCCTGGGATCGAGTCCCGCATCGGGCTCCCTGCTCCTTGGGAGCCTGCTTCTCCCTCTGCTTCTCTCTCTCTCTCTCTCTCTGTCTCTCATGAATAAATAAATAAAATATTAAAAAAAAAGAATTTAAAAGAAGATGTTAAGTGACAAAGGAAAGCAAATCTCAGTAAATGGAACAATTTGTTCAACATCTGTCCATAAACATAAAGCGTATACATAGTCTGTCAAGAGATGACTGAATTATTAGACAAATCCGAGGAAATACATAAAGAACATGTTATCTTTAAGTAGTTTAACTTCATTTATCAGAGAAGCTGATCATTTTTAATGTTACTTTTACTCTTTACACTATATTTTCTTGTAAACAAAATATTGAAAGAAATATTGCTCATTGAGTCTGAATTGTAAAATATAAAGAAAAACTAAGCTTAAAAGACTCTTGACACATAAGCTACTCTTATATAACCTTTTTGTTACTTCTGTCTCATTCATCCAAATAGCGAAAGAGAAAATACTAACTCATAAAAGCTAGTTTGCTAAAACTCTAAGCATCCATCACTAATCACTTTCTCAAGTCATTAGTTGGGATTCTACATTAGTATGCTAGAAAATGGGTAGGTTCAAAGGAACAACCAGCAGAGGAGTGGAATGGGAAGAAGTGGTTCTGAAAGCTAATCCTAAAACTGTTTGAAGCTTCTTGCAAAATGAATCCATTCACATTTGCCACCTATTGCCAATATTTCTTTTCTTTTTTTTTTTTTTAAAGATTTTACCCATTTATTTGACAGAAAGACACAGCGAGAGAGGGAACACAAGCAGGGGGAGTGGGAGAGGGAGAAGCAGGCCCCCAGCCGAGCAGGGAGCCCAATGCGGGGCTCGATCCCAGGACTCTGGGATCACAACCTGAGCCAAAGGCAGACACTTAACGGATGAGCCACCCAGGCGCCCCGCCAATATTTCTTTTGGAAGTTGTTTTATTCTCTTCAGCACTGTACTCAAAATTCATTTTAATCTGATTATTGAGGATGCAATGTTTGATTGACTGTATCCAAGGCTACACTGTTAGTCTGGGTTGGCTCATCACCACTCCATTCATTTAACCTGTGGCATCGGACACCATTACATGCAAAGCCTAACAGGAATATAAAGATGACACTATCTTTATTTTTAAATAATTTATACTACTCCAGGTCAGTTAAGTGGGGAAAACTTTCTAAAGAAATGGATTTTAAGCCAGTATTCAAAAGGCAGACATGATGTGAACACATTAGGATCAGAAACAGACATCTAGGACAACTGTACATGCCAACTAAGAAAACTTCTAGTACTAAGAATGCCAGAGCATGGGGAATGAAAAGAGAAGAAAGAGATAATGCAGTAAGTTCAGCTGAGGAAGATTATTAAGGGTCTTAAAAATTATGCTGCAGAGCACAAAATTTATTCTGTGGGAAACAGGGAACCACTCAAGGTTTTGAGTATGGAAGAGATGGTAACTATACCTCAAAAAGATAATTCTGGAAGGGTATGCAGCCTGGAGTAAAAAATGGATAAGATAAGAGGCAAGATGTCTTATTCAGAAGGCTATTGCAATTATCCAAGGAAGAGGTAATGAAGGCCCAGATTAAACAGAACTGGTAGGATGGTCACTGCCTGAACTTGGAGAGTAAAGAGAAGTAGACAAAGATGACTATAAAGTTTTAAGTCCCCATAACTGGGAAAATGTTAATGCTACTAAAAAAATGAAAACAAAGGGAGAAGAACAGGTCTGGAAAGGAGGGTAAGCCTGGTTTTTGAACATGTTTATTCTCGTTGACCAGACAGATACAGTAGGTATTTGGTTTAGAGTTGGAAGTGTGTGTGAGAAGTAATTTTCTGGAGTAGAAATAACTGCTGCTCAAAAGATATAAATATTTCTACGATTCTGCTGTCCAAAAAAGGGTGCCGCTATTACTGAATGAATATATTCAGCAATTATTCCAAAGCAATTAAAAAAAAGAAAATTAAAAAATTGTATGTTAGGGTATGAGTTACTTTTAGGAAGAAAAGTATTTTTGTATTGATTATCTTTACATGAGAAATAAAATATGTAAGTAAATAGGAAAAAACCCTGTCATTCTCTTTTGTAAAAACAATGAGAGAGAAGAAACCTTCCACGGGGCACCTGGGTGGCTCAGTCATTAAGCGTCTGCCTTCGGCTCAGGCCGTGATCCCAGGGTCCTGGGATCGAGCCCCACACCGGGCTCCCTGCTCGGCGGGAAGCCTGCTTCTCCCTCTCCCACTCCCCCTGCTTGTGTTCCCTCTCTCACTGTGTTTCTCTCTGTCAAATAAATAAATAAAATCTTAAAAAAAAAAAGAAGAAGAAGAAACCTTCCACAAAGAACATATTGAATTACATCATGGATAAAAGTTTTTAAAAATTTACAAAAAAAAAGAAAAAACATTCCAAGCAACTTCCCTTTACAATTTATTTCCACAAAAAAATACACATGTCCTAAAATGCCTGACTGCCTACACACACACACACACACACACACACACACACACACACACGTGTGACTTCAGATGATCAGAAATAACAAAAGTTGACCTATTACAATCACGGTTGCTACAAATAAAAAATTACAGCTCCTTACAGTTACTAGTAGATTAAATATTTAAATTCAGTTACTTCTAATTATTATATTTAAATATTCATACACTTTAAAATAACTTCCTCTTTACCCTAAGGAAAATTTTTAAAAATGTAGCTTTAATAGGTTCTCTGAAAAAATGAACAGAGCAGTCCCAGAGGAGCTACTTGCTACACTAAATTTAAAGAAAAAAAAGGATGTAAATTATTAATAATGGTTAGTGATAACAAAGAAGCCTTCCCAGGTTCTACCACAGGAAACCTATATTCCTGTTTCCAGTTTTATTCCATGGTTACAACCTAAGTAGGCATCTGGAATTTATCTATTCACATGATTTCTCTACCCCATTTTAGTGGTAAAATGTCTTGTAACACGTGTGTGTGTGTGTGTGTGTGTGTGTGTGTAATCTTGGCAGAGGGAGATGTCACCAGAGATTCCTTAGTTTTAACCTCTTGGGTAGTTGCTTCCCTGCTTTGGCTTCTCAGGTAAGCCCATTAACCAATACATGAACCTGCATGTTATCTTATTTGGCAGAATTACTGAAGCAATAACACACCAGCAGAGGGGTAAGAAAAAGATCAAAACTGAGAAATCTCAGGTTATTGGCATGCTTAGGGACAATTCTGAGACACTTAATCTAAGATTTAGAGAGATTCAATCTTAAAAATTAACTTGTGAAATTTACTAACCTTTTGTATGTTTATAATGTCTTGGGTGTTCCTTATTTTGTATTCTGAAAACACTAGATGAAATGTCATGGAACCTATCATCTTCAAAATCACCACATCCAAACCCATAGTTCATACGTTGACCAATTATGCTTACATTGGATGTTGTAATCCCTGTAAAATAAAATACATAAAAATATTTATTTGAACGATTCAGGTAATATTATAGATAGGTACATATCCCCCCCTCTAAATCTATCTTGCTTTCTAGACTTTTAAAAAGGTCAGTGACATAATATTAGAAATTATAACATTATAGTAATTCAGTTTTATCTTATTTTAAATTTTGTTATACTTTTTACTAGCAGTTAAGAACATTTATTATAAACTATATATAAAACATTTTATAAAACAAGCTTTAAAATTACAATGAAATACAAAATTCAATGTTTGAAAGAGATAACCAAGTATATATATATATATATGTATAAACATGACAGGCATTTAATGTTTAAATGACATATAAACCTTTACAGCAAAAAGAAAAATTTTTAAATCTAGAATTTTTAAACTGTATGCTGAGAGATATTTTCCATTTCTCTCTTCTCTCCCACTCTTGTGTAACGGGTCTATACTGGTCTGGCTGGTGAAGCAGTACACTCCACGGTGACTAAGCTCAGAATCTGGACTCATGCTTCCTGGCTATAAATCATAGCACTGTCACTTAAGCCCCTGACAGAACCTGGGCAAGACAATCTTATTTGTAAAATGGAAGATAATAATAGAGGGGTGCCTGGGTGGCTCAGTTGGTTAAGCGACTGCCTTTGGCTCAGGTCATGATCCTGGAGTCCCGGGATTGAGTCCCACATCGGGCTCCCTGCTCAGCGGGGAGTCTGCTTCTCCCTCTGACCCTCTTCCCTCTCATGCTCTCTCTCATTCTCTCTCTCAAATAAATAAATAAATAAATAAAATCTTTAAAAAAAAATGGAGGATAATAGAATTACCCTTCCCAGAATGGCTGTGAGGATTAAGAAAATACATGTAAAGGGCTTAGCATAGTGCCTAACATACTGTAAATACCCAAATGTTATATTCCTAACTAAAAATAAAAGAAATCAGGGTGCCTGGGTGGCTTAGTCAATTAAGCATCCAACTCTTGATTTCGTCTCAGGTCATGATCTCAGGTTTGTGAGATCGAGCTTCGGGTCAGGCTCCGCATTCAGTAGAGTGTTTGAGATTCTTTCTTTCCCTCCCCGCCTGCCCCCCACCAATAACTAAATAAATCTTTAAAAAAAATCAAAACCCTAATGTGGACCTCCTTTTAACAAATATCAAAAATTTTAATCTACATTTGAATGTTTCAACTGACTACCCTATACAATACTTTGAAGCTATTAAAACCACAAAATATCTACTAAATGGAAAATCCTACCCAATATATATTTAAGTCACCATCCACTTTCATATATATAGTTCCCTACAAATACCATTAGAGAGTAATAAAATACAATTTGTTCTTAATATTATTGTGGGTTTTTTAATAAAAACAGGATTGTGAGGAGAAGGGGTGGCTGGTGGCAACTGGTCAACAGAAGACTGTAGGGTAAAAGGCACTAAGTCAGTTCATAGAGAGTCAAAAAATATCTGGTGTTAAATGATAGAGAACTTCTGGGAGTAACACGGGTATCTGTCTACACTCTTCTTAGTTTTGATAGTTAATTCATAAAGGTATCCTCATAAAGATACTGGCTTTGGGTGCAAATGCTTTCTGTTAATAACGGGTATTACTAATCTGATGCTACAGGAAAAAAGTTTACTATAACATAATTCAGGAAATTTACCTATGTAAATTACCTATAGCACATGTGCTATAATAGGTAGTGGTGGATTACATGTGGAAATATTTATTGGAAATTAGAACACAAAGACAAGTTGGATTTATAGTTTCTACATAATTATTTTTGGTTTTGTTTTCAGATAATCTTTACTCGGAGCATTACCATTTTTACTTTATCAGTTAAATGATAAACTTGTAGGAATCATTTGCTTACTAAAAACAAAACCCTATCCCACAAAAACAAAAAATGTAAACCCAAGTTTATAAAATCCTAAACCATTAGCAACTTTATATTTTGAGGACATATTAAATTTAACCAAGAATATCTCATAGTGAATTCAACAGCAGAGTTTCCAAAACTTGATCTTAGAAATGTGTATTTGTTAAAAATACAGATTTTTAACTCTGAAGATCAATTCATTATTTGTGAGGTGAGGTCCCAGAATCTGTGTCCCAAGCATCCCTGGTGATCCCTAGGACTAGGCAAATTTGAGAAATACTAAATATTAAACAACTTTGGCAAACACTGAATATTGTGTAATGAAGTATGTACTGTTTTAAGAACTTTTTCACTTTACTAAAATTTAAGTGACTTATGAGGTCAGGGGGAAACTCAAATCTAGGTTTTCTAAATCTGTTCTTTTCTAACTCCAAACATATTCTTCCAGAAAAGGGCTCCACTTTTGTAAATAAGACACAGTCTACCAATAACTTATATAAATAAAGTTATGAATAATTTACTGTAATAATCAGCCTTAAAAAGGGATTATAGAATAAGTTTATGTGTTATGTTTCTTTGTGTCTTCTCCTTTAAAGGAACAAAAGCCAAGTGTCCCCTATGCATTAGGTGCTTATACTTAACTGTTTATTAGCCCTTCTCAAGGTTTACATTACCAGATGAGGGAACTGAGTTTCAAAGCAGTTAAATCACTTGCCCAGCTCATGAATATGGTCAAACCGGGATTCCAGCTGGGGTCTTTCAGACTCCAAAGCACATATACACTGTCTTCCTTGCCTAATAGATTAACTAACTCTTTGTGGAACACTAGCTTTGTGGAAGCCAATATACCAGGCATGCATGGTTGAATTAGGCATTCGTGATAACGAAGGCACTAGGTAGATAATCAGGATCTAAGAATCTGAGAGTCCAAAGAAGTAAAATAATGGTAATACCACTATAAAGGATCAGTACAAAATATAATGCTATCATGAAAGAGGTAATAATCAATTTTGTTTGTGAATGGGGAAGGTTTTCAGAGAAAGCAACTGCACTGTTTACAGCTGAATGGGGTGTGGTGTAGATTCCAGATTTCACCCAGAAAAAATGGTACGTGCAACTGCAAAAAGAGAGGAAATGGTATTGAAAGTGGTCTGATTTAACTGGAATACAAAATTACAAAGAAGGAAGTGAAATATGAGGCAGGAGAGGTAGACAGGGACAGATCATGGAAGAATGCCCTAAATAAATTTAGGTTGGGCAATACAGTCAGACTTGCATTGTGGTTTGTACTGCATCATTCAGAATGAGACTGAAGCTGGAGAGAAATCTTAGGAGGCTAAATGGGTAAGAAATGAGTAAAAGTGGAGACTAAAAAGAGGAGATGAAATTTTTTTTTTAAAGATTTTATTTATTTATTTGACAGAGAGAGACACAGCGAGAGAGGGAACACAAGCAGGGGGAGTGGGAGAGGGAGAAGCAGGCCTCCCGTAGAGCAGGGAGCCCGATGCAGGGCTCGATCCCAGGACTTTGGGACCACGACCTGAGCTGAAGGCAGCCGCTTAACCGACTGAGCCACCCAGACGCCCCAAGAGGAGATGAAATTAAGACATATTTAGGAATAAGAAATTTAAAAATCTTAGTAGACAAATACATACATACATAGCTTTTTAGAGAGTAAATTATAATGTAAGGTAGAGTAGCCTTAAAGTTGTTAGGACTTTTATACTGAGATCATGTGAAAATAAATGCCAATTTGTTATAATTCACTCATAATCCAATATACTGTTACCAATCATAAAGAAGAATCACATGCAGTTTCTATCCTAAATAGATCAGAATCCAAATATTTCTCCAAAAGATTACTAATAACTAAATCTATTTTCTGAAAAGTGATGCTATACGTTACAGACTTCCAGGTTAGTTCACAAAATTCTTAACAAGATACAAATGAACTTAACTACCAGCTAAGTGTTGTTTTTAAAACAAATTGTCTTTTGTGATACCTAGTGGCTTCTAAACTGTGCTGCATATTAGAATCACCCTGAGGGCTTTCAAAACTCTGGTGGCCAGGTCACATTTCATATCAATTAAACCAAAATGTCTGGATGGAAGAGCCAGGCATAGGTACACCTATGGGCTTAAAGGGGGATCAATTATTTAAGTAAATAATTTTTCTTCCAAGAATAATATAATACTTATTCTTGCCAAAAAAGGCCTCTTAAAGAGTTAAAAAGATGATTAGTCTTAATTGGTAACTACAAAAATTCTATATCTGAAATGCATTTTTTTACCATTTTTGGTATCATTTAAAAATCATACTTTCTATAAATCATATTTATAAAACAGTTATAAAATACCTGCACTGTGGCTTTGGTCAGCTATCTCAGAGATTTTATTCTTTGCAGAAGAAAGTCTCGTTGGACAAAGTTTTGATCCAAATGTCGGAAATATGTCTGACCTACAATGAAACAAAGTAATTCCAATAAACATTTAAGATCTAAAGCTGTTCAACATTCTTAGATAGTAAGGCAGGAGCAAGTATGAAAACTATAGCTAAGAATATTTTTTTATTGGTATTCCTAGTTCACTTTCAGATCTCCCAACCATTTAATATATAGGCAATTCTTTTTTTTTTTTAAAGATTATTTATTTGACAAAGAGAAAGAGAGAGACACAGCGAGAGAGGGAACACAAGCAGGGGGAGTGGGAGAGGGAGAAGCAGGCTTCCCATGGAGCAGGGAGCCCGACGCGGGACTCGATCCCAGGACGCTGGGATCATGACCTGAGCCGAAGGCAGACGCTTAACCGACTGAGCCACCCAGGCGCCCTAACATATAGGCAATTCTTAATTTTTCATGAGAGGATTACAAAACACAGGGAAGATTCTCTAACTCGTACTATATAACCTTTTGTTGGGTCAAAAAAAAAAAAAAAAACTGATCCAAAGAAAGTTGGTTCATTCCAAAACTAAAGCAGATGACTCCTAATAATCTAATATACTATCTGTCCTCACAGATAATAACACAAAAAAAGAGACTTAACTACATTACAAATTAGAGATAAGCAACAGGTGGATTTATTAGCAAATATCATTTTCTTCCTGGATTATTCTGTTATTTTTCTGACATTATAAAGAGCTACAGGCTTTGTTTCACAAAGAAAGTGACTGAAGAATGTTGAATCTGAATGTAAAGAGACTGTTTTAAATCACTTAAGTGTTGTAATAAGTGCTGTAATATCAATAAGCCAGTGATGAATATTATAAAGAGATTTTACAAAGGAGCATAGTTCTTAGTAGTTGGGTAAGCCTAGTTAATTTGCCTAGTGAGAAGTCAATGTTAAACATTATTTTTTTTAAGGTTTTATTTATTTATTTGACAGAGAGAGACACAGTGAGAGAGGGAACACAAGCAGAGAGAGTGGGAGGGGGAGAAGCAGGCTCCCTGCTGAGCAGGGAGCCCAATGTGAGGCTCGATCCCAGGACCCTGGGATCACGACCCGAGTCGAAGACAGACGCCCAACGACTGAGCCACCCAGGCGCCCCAATGTTAAATGTTAAATGTTAAACATTTTTAAAGAGTAATTTCTCTAGAATAGATGATAGGTTTTTTTAGTCAATTTAGTCAATTTAAACCATGTGCCTGACTTGAATGAAAGAAAATACTTTAGTCTCTACAAGAGTGGCTCTCAAGAGTTTTTCCTCCCCAACCCACTTAAAGATGAAAGCCCCACATGAGGTAATAGTGGCTCTCTTTGCCATGATTCTTAAGGCAAGATGCAAGCTGGTTAAGAATAACTGTTTTAAAGCTATTAAACTTAATGGGAAATATGAAATTCATTACAGGTAATTTAGTCCAGAAATGAGGGCTATTGAACTCCTTCTCACAGAGTTCAAAATCTGAAGAGAATAATTCCATGAGACAATATAGAGAATAGTGAATTCTAAATGTTATAGTATAAAATGAACTTTTCTTCCCAACTAGGTTCTAAATTATTTACAAGACCTTGCAACTGCAGGAGTATTTCACATTCATAGAAAATAAGGGAAGGACTTTAGGTCTAAAAGATAAGTATGTATTTTAAGTGTCTGGTAACTAAATACAAACAGTTACTTCACCAGCCCATGTAGCCATTCCAAATTCATTTTGTAAATATATTGCATTATTCTACCTGGGTAATTACAACAAAGGAATTTCCAGTAAGAAAAAATTTCCAACTGCAAAATAAGCTGCTATTTAAGTTAAAAATGTAGAGAATGGAATCACGAGATAAGACAAACTTCTCATAGCAGGACACAAAAATTTGGTTTAACTCTATGAACTGCTGAAATGAAACACCCTTTTCCATTAGAGTTAATAGAACACCATCTGTCCTTTGACTATACAGTCTCTAACTACCTATATTGTTAAAGATTCCAGTTCACCTAAGTGAAAATAATTTTAAATTTAATTTTAAATATTTACAGCTAGTAGTTGTGGATAACCATGGTTCAGGATAAAATCAAAGGAAAAAAAGTTAAAAAGACTGACAACAACAAATATAAACACGGATGTGAAACTGGAACTCTCATACTTTGCTACAAATATCTTGGAAAACTGTTCAGCAGTTATTTAAAAAGCTAAATGTATATCTATCCTATGACCCAGCAATTCTACTCAAGTTTTTGTCTAAAATAAAGAGGGAAGAGATTCCCCAAAATCCTAGAATAGAGTCACGGAAATTCTCAGAAATCAAAGTGGGACCACTGTTTAAGACTTAGAGGTCACTGAGGTAATCTGGAAAAGTTTGTTGAATTGCTATACTAGAAAAAAATGCTCTGGGGTGGCCAGGACTCTAATTCCAGAACTGCTATAAGGGAGACTCCTGAGAACGCTGCAAAAGCTATGGCACGGGGGCCTAAGCTTCTACATGGAAATGGAACAACAAAATATAAGGAATGGCGAGGTAACAGCTGAGTGGAGTTTATCTACAAATTAGAGGAAATTGGTGCTGAGTTTTCAATGAAAGCAGTAACATCAGCTATAGGTCCACTGCAAAAGACTCAATGATCTAGAACAGAGCTAAAGAACAAAGAATATTAGGATAAATCCTAGGCAGAACAACAAGTAGGGCTTGGGGAATAAGGGTTTATATTACTGGAGGTGCTCTAAGTTACAGCTGATGTGTTCTCTCTCTCTCCACCCAACCCAAACCAAAGCCAAGCTAGATAGTATCTGTAAACTTTTCACTGTCTTTTAAATGTATTTCAACATTTTAAGAACTAGAAAATAAATAGTTTAAAAGTTTTTTTCAAATATGATATTAGGGATGAGACTACAAATTAAAGATTAGCATTCATTTAACATGTCAAAAAATAAAATACATTATTCTCTTCCCCTGGGGAGTTGTAGACAGAGAAGATGTCAATGATTCTTGGCTATAAACTCCACTTTCACTATAAGAGCTGATGTTTGGAGAGGAAGATCGAGATGGTGAGTCCATAGTCAATTCGAGCTTAACTGCAGAATCAGGGCTTTCAAGATCAGAAGTACTGCCACTCAGTTTTGCTCTTTTCTTAGCTGCACTATTACGAAGGGACCTAAGAGAGCTCTGCATCTAAGAAAAAAAAAACAACAATTAACTTTGCAAGACATTTATCTGAGTAAAGTTATCCTAAGATTTTAAATTCCATTCACTATACCTAGCGAGCCATTCTCCAATCTGGTACTAACAAGATGAATATTAACATATTTGTACATAGTAAAAATACATATTTTAAAAACAACCAATATAAACAAGATTGTAAGCCCCTTAAGAGGAAGGATCTCAAACTATTATTCAGCATGGTATTTCCAGCACTAAGAACAATGACTAATATAATAAAATTTAATCAGTAAATGAATCACTGAATCAGATGGTAGACATCTAAGTTGAAGTCAGAGAGGTCTAGCCAATCTTTGGTCATTGGTGTGTGGATGTGGCCATTTAGAAATTCTGTGAAAAGTAATCAGTTTTCTAAAATTTGAAGTTTACATCAAGTTTGCCAGTGTTAGAGGTCAGAGAATAACAGATGACTGTATGTGACTTCTGAAGCCAAGTGTTTCTAGAAATGTAGAGTAGAAGATGCCATTACAAACAAATATATTAAAGTTGGGAATAGAACCCTGAATGAATTAAGGAACCCAGAAACATACATACACTGTGTTTCACTTACATTTTGATTATAACAATTATAATGGTTGATTCAACAGTATGGCCACTTCCCTAATAAATCCTTAGAAGGCTGACTATTTAAAAATAGTACTATCCTCCTATATTTATCAATAATTTTATAAAATTGAAATTTTTATAAAACTAAAAATTTGATAAAATTGAAATTACACTTTCAATTATTCATTAAAAGAAAAAGGGCTATTTTTAAGGTATCATACAAATAATGCAAAAATATGTAGCATCAGATGAAATTTATGAGTTACATAGGAAAATGCCTCTTCTAGAACTTTCTTCCCTTTAAATGAATTCTCTTCCTAGTACCAGTGAAATACAACTGGGGGGGGAGAGAAAAGATTTTACAAGCAGTCAGAAGTTGGAATGACTAATTAATTCATTAAGAAACAATTTTGGTACACATGCTTAATGCTAAAAAAAATGCCCTTAAAATGAATATGCATTAATATTAACTTTATTTTATTGAGCAAAATCAGTATATGATGCTTACATCTTAAAAACAGGCAAAAATAAGACCACAAAATATAATTGAGTGTTTCAGTTTACACATTTTATGTAAAACATTTTTTAAACCTGACATCAGGCAGACTAATATGATGAAAAGAAAGCATCTATGGCAATAGTGCTCCGGATCCAAAGTAATATAGCAACCACATTCCTTCTCTGACATAATTAGCATGTACAGAATTGTCATATTGGCAACGGATTTTTATAGTATAAATGGAGCGACTGAGAATTCAAAGAGTATATAATATGACCTCAGTTTCATAAAGATAAATAAACTTGTACATATGCACAACAGACATACCCAGGAATGTTCAATGCACCATTGTTTGCAATAGCAAAAGACAAGGAATAAGCCAAAATCAATTATGATAATATCATAAATATCAAAATATTAATATATTAAAAGTACAAAAATACATAAAACGCTAATGGTGATAGGGTTGCTTCTGGTGAAGGAGGGAAAGGAACTGGATTGGGGAGGGAACTATGTTATGTTTCATTTATTTAAAAATAGGAAACAAATATGCAAATTGTTCACTTGGGAGGGATTAGTGTATGGGTATATTGCTATATTACTCATACTTTTAACTTAAAAAGAAATAATATATGCATAGAAGAAATACTGAAAGGAAACACATTAGAGTGTTAATGGTAAATTATTCTGGGTAGTGGGATTTGGTGTGATGAATTTTCTTCCAATACGTCACTATAGTTTCTACGTTTTCTATAAGGATCATGAAATATATTTTTATTTTTTTAATTTTTTATTTTTTTTAAAAAGATTTTATTTATTTACTTGAGAGAGAGAATGAGAGAGAGAGAGCACATGAGAGGGGGGAGGGTCAGAGGGAGAAACAGACTCCCTGCTGAGCAGGGAGCCCGATGCAGCACTCGATCCCGGGACTCCAGGATCATGGCCTGAGCTGAAGGTAGTCGCTTAACCAACTGAGCCACGCAGGCACCCGGATCATGAAATATTTTTATAAAAAAGAAAACATATTATGGAATTAAAAAGTACTTGATTTTTCCTTAAATAACAGCTATTGTATTATAGAAAATTACAAGGATTTAAAAATTATTAAAAATTATATTTGGCTCTAACCTCTTCTTGATCCAAATCTTTATCTCTGATATCTAATTCTGAAAGATCAATTGTAAGACTATCTTTTTCACTCTTCCAAATATCATCAGGCTCTTTCTTTTTGGGTCCCACTGTGCTTAAGTCAGCTTTATCAGGCAAAAGGCTGATTCCCCTTGGTATGGGAGGTACGGGTTTTGTCCCATTTAGGCCTCGTCGGGAAGACGGTGATCTCACCAAGGCAGGTGTAAGTTGAACTGGAGAAAGTTTTTCTTGAGACTTTTCTCCTGCATGAAAAAAACATATTTTACTGATTTTTTTTTAATTTCAGAGAACTGGGAGTTATAATCACAAATGTTTGGAATACAGCATTTTTAAATTAAAAAACACATTGTCTTTTATTAGATTACTATTTAAAATCAGATCAAAGCATCAGTGTCCCCTAATACAACAAAAATGAGTTACCAGAAATTCTTTCATATTAAATAAAAATACTATATACCAAGTTAAATTTCTATCTTTATACACATTATCATAACTAATATTTGTATGATAAAGTCCACAAGTAAGCCAGAAGGACTACTTGCCTGGCTTCATTTAATTATGCAAGCAACATGTGAGTGACTACTATATGCAAAGCAGTAATGCTGGGCACACGAGAGAACAAACTGAATAAACTCTCAGCTTTCAATACAGTATTTGATCTTGTAGGAAAGACAAACATAGAAAGAAATTAATGGAGGAAATGAAAGTGTAGTGCTAAGAAAAAGTGATAAAACTGACTAACCACGCAACAAATTGACCTTATGATCATGTTATAAACCAGAACATCACTGAGGTAGGGTAGTTTAAAGGTGTACACCTTAGCTCAGAGGCTGGGGATAAGAAAGTATGTGGGATATAGGGGCTGCCTTTAATAGACTTTTTATTTTGAGATTGGATCTGTCTTGAATAAATTTATATGCTAATTTCATTATTTTGGAAAGGGCTATTTTTGTTTTTTTTAAAGATTTTATTTATTTGTCAGAGAGAGAGAGAGACAGAGAGAGCACAAGCAGGGGGAGCGACAGAGGAAGAAGACAGGTTCCCCAATGAACAAGGAGCCCGATGCGGGACTCAATCCCAGGACCCTGGAATCATGACCTGAGCTGAAGGCAGTCGCTTAAGGGACTGAGCCACCCAGGCGTCCCGGAAGGGCTATTGTTAAGAAAAGAATATTTTAGTTAACAAATAAATAGAAAACCCTTTTAAATAAATTTAACATATACTAAGCAATTAAAAAATGTAGAATAAATGGATACTAAGCATTAATTATAGTAATTATGACATTTTATATTTCTAAAGCTAAAATTCGTTACTAGGCTCTCGGGCTGTTCATGTTCATTAATAAAGCATTATTAGTTGCCTAGTTCTGAAAAATGATTTTAAAGTGCAAAATTAAGAAAAGAAATGGCAATTTCATTTGAATTTTATTTTATATAACATGTTTGATTTATTTAACATACTATTAAATATTTTCCTAGATGCTTACTAATTCAGAGAAATAAAATGCAGTTTACCAGCTCTTAAAGATCAAACAGCCCTAATTCCAAAGTAATATTTCAAAAACACAAATAAATTTGAACAAAGTATTAATTTTTACCATCATTTCTACCTGGAGAGTCAGACGATTTTTGGCTGACAAGCTTTTTCTGTGGACTCGGCTTTGGTAGTCCTTCGAAGCTTTTAAGAGGCCAGGAATTGGAGAAGTTAATCGAAATATCCTGAGACTTCTTTGGAGATACGGTAAGAGATGCGTGCTTTGGACTAGTTCGAGGTGATGAGAGAGGATAGGATGGAAGGATGAAGCCTCCTGGACTTGGATTTAGACCAGAGTATGATGAAGTACGTTCCGTTTGGCTACCAAATGTCTGCTGTGTCTTAGGAGCAAAATTCAGGCTAGCATACACTGTAATAAAACAAAAGAGAATATGTTACTTATGTATATACATCTAAGAGTTTAAAATTGGTTTGCTTTTCACTTTCAGATTTTTATCCCATCTGGTGTTTATTTCTTTTTGTACAGTGTGAAGTTTAACTTTTTTCTATATAGATAGTGCAATTGTCCCAGTGCCATGTTTTAAACTGTCCTTTCTTTTCCATTCATCTATAAAGCTCAAATATATACACATATGTATGTATGTATACACACACACTGAGGTGCTTCGTATTGGTTCAATTAGTCTATTTTGTCTATCCCTGCACTAGTACTACAACGTTTTATTTATCATAATGCTGTCCAAAGGATGGGTGTCCTTCCATTTTTTAGCTTCCTCAGAATTATCTTGGCCATTCTTGTATTTCAGGATCAGCCTCTCAAGTCCTATACAAGATCCTCACTGGGTTTTTGATTGGAATGACATTGAATTTACAGATCAACCTAGGAATAACTGCCATTTTCCTGATATTCAGCCTCCCTGTTTAAAAATGTGGGATCTCCTTTAAAGTCTTCTTTTATGTCTCTCAGAAATATATTTTAGCTTTCATAATAAAAGGTATGCAAATCTTTTGTTAGGTTTCCATATACTTATATATTTTGTTGATACTGTAATTTCTTTCTTAAAAATTATATTTTCTGAATGTTGCTGGTGTCTAGGAACTTTGTATCTGGCAACCTTGCTAAATTGCTTAGTATTTTAACAGTTTTCTGTATATGCTTTTAGATTTTTTTGTAAGTGATCTAATAATTTTAATAATGATAATGATGGCAATTATGATAATGATAATGATGGAAGCTAATGCTTAGTGAGCACTTTACTATGTGTCAAGTGTGTTCTAAACACTTCATGTGTATTAAGTAATTTAATCCTCACAACAACCCCATGGGGGTAGGTACTATTCTTACCTTATAGATTAAAAGAAAAAAATGTAAGAGGGTTAAGTAAATTGCCAAAAATCACACACTAGGAAATCATAAAGCTGGGATACAGACCCAGGCACTGTGGCTTCCAAGTGCTCTTAATTATCACACTTTATCTGATGGTAATGACAATTTTTGTTTCTTCCTCTACAAACTTTATACTTTTAATTTTGAGCTAGGCTCTCCCTAAATAGGGAGTACAATGACTCCCAAATTTTAGCACGGATTTTTCTTTGCACCCAGACTTAATATCAAAATGCCACTCAACATCTTCTTTAAAAAGACAGATGACCCAAATGTAACATGTTCAAAACAAAACGCTTGATTTCCCAGCCAAATCTATTCTCCTAATCTTCCTCTTGGTAAATGGCAGCTCTATTCCTCAAGTTGCTCAGGCCAACAACACTGGACTCATCCTTGATTCTTCTCACAAACTTCACATCTAATCCATTAGTAAATCTTCTGTCTCTATATTAGCAACACAGGGTGATCACTGAGTCTGAAAACTTAGGTGAATGCAGAGTAAATGGCTTATTCATATTATATGAGCATACATAATAAAATTATCTGTTTCCAAACTTTATGGCCACCCTGTATATCAAAATCCAACTACTTCTCATCACTTCCACTCCTTCCTTTCTAATACAAGCCATATCATCTCTCACCTTTACCATTGCCATATCCTCACTAGTTTGCTTTGTACCCGGTCCCCATTGTTACTAAACCTATTCTCTACATAGCAGCTCTGATCCTTTTAAAATAGTCAAATCAGGCTATTTTTGTTTCCTCTCAAAAACCTCCTGTGACTTCCCATCCCACTCAGAATAAAATCCCAAATCCTTACTCTATTCTGCAAGGCCCCAAGTTATCTCTGAAAATTACTCGCCCCCTCACTCATTCCACTGACCTTGCTATTTCTCCAAGAAGAGAAATATGGTCCTACTTCAGAGCATTTGTACTTTGATTGTTCTCTCTTCCTGGAATGCTCTCTTCCTGGATTTCTCCAGGTATCAATGTAACTCACTCCCCCACTTCATTTGGCTTTTTTTTTTTTTTTTAAACAAGCTGTGGCCAGTTTTATTAAAGAAAAATTTTGAGTGATTTACTTTCTACCAGTCTGTTCTGGCATGCTTCTAATACTATCAGAATCACCTGGATCAATGATAGGCAGTGTGCATACTCTGTAGTATTTCCCACATGCTGTGCCCAATTATTGCCACTGTAGTGATGGACACCAGTTTTGGCCAACATGGCGTAGTATTCTATTTCAGATTTCCTCAAGGTTGGACAGTTGTTGGCAAGGATGACCAGTTTCGCTTTGCCATGTCTGATCATTTTCAGAGTCTGCTTGTACCCCAGCTCGTACTTTCCACTTTTCATAACAAGCTGGAGCCTAGAGTTGATCGACTCCAGCGACTTTTTCATCTTTTCTGAGGCCACCATCTTCCTGCCTTAGATGCAGGATGGCCCCAACCAAGAGCAGCCACCAAAATGGCCTCATTTGGCTTTCTGCTTAAACATTTTCACTCCACAGAAATTTTCCTTATCACATTCTGTCTCCTACCCTGGCTTATTTTCTGCACAGCAGTCACTTCTATTTTTGTTTCTTTATTTTCTCCTCTACTAGATTTTGATTTTTAGATTCTAGAAAGTGCCTGCTTCCCAATAAATACTAGAGGGATTAGTAATTAAATGTTCAAAAGCAAAGGTAACAGTGAGCATTTTTGTCTTATTCTTGACTCAAGTGAATTTTAATATTTTAACACTAAATATAGTTGCTATAGGTATTAACAGATATTAATCAGGTTAAGAAAGTTATTTGTAGTTTGTTATGAGTTTGTAATCATGCACTGATGTTGAATTTTAACCGCATCTATTAACACACTTATATAGTTTTCCTTCTTTCTGTGATAAGGTTAAAAATATAGGATATTCTGGAAAATTACTTACACATAATATATTACACATTTTAAAACCACATTGCTGGATTTCACTTGCTAATACATTATTTAGGACTTCGTCTTTCATGAAAGTGAACCTGGGCCACCATTTTTTGCTTTTATTCATTAACTTTATGGTATGGTATTAATGCTATACTCATCTCATAAAAGCAGGGAAACTTCTTTCTTCTTTCAGTTTGTATAAGATAGGACTTAACTCTTTTTGAAGGTTTGAAAGAATACTAGGAAAATCATCTGAGCCTGGGACTTTGTCTTTTTTGTGTGTGTAGGGGTAAAATTTTAAAATAAAATTCCTTTAATGATTACAGGTCTACTGAGGTTTTCTATTTCTGAGACAACTTTCACAAGCTTATTGTGTTGTTCATTACTCTGTATCATCTAATATAAAACTTCTATATTTAAATTTTCTTTTTTTTAAGATTTTATTTATTTATTTGAGAGAACACAAGCAGGAGAAGGAGCAGAGGGAGAAGCAGACTCCCCGCTGAGCAAGGAGCCCAACGTGGGGCTTGATCCCAGAACCCTAGGATCATGACCTGAGCCCAAGGCAGATGCTTAACCAACTGAGCCATCCAGGTGCCCCTCTATTTAAATTTTCTACTAACATTTGTAGATTTGTTAATTTTCTCCTTGTAATTCTGTCAACACACTCCCCCCCAACACACACACGTCCAAACATTTTAGAAAAGTCTTATCTCTTCCTGAATTGTTCTTTTTTCATTATAATGATCACCTTTAGCCCTAAAAATATTTTTACCTTTAGTGTGCATATTTTCTCTAATATCAGTATTTTTGTACTTGCTATCTTTGATTATTTGCCTAGTATATCTTTTCCATGCTTTACTTTCTCCCATTCTATTTTGACGTGTTTTAGGTATGGCTCTTAAAAATAGCATTTCATAATCCAATTAAAAAAATGCACAGAAGACATGAATAGACATTTTCCAAAGACAACATCCAGATGGCCAACAGACACATGAAAAAATGCTCAACATCACTGATCATTAGGGAAATGCAAATCAAAACTACAATGAGCTAATACCTCACACCTGTCAGCTATAATCAACAACACAGGAAACAACAGGTATTGGTGAGGATGTGGAGAAAGGGGAATCCTCTTGTACTGTTGGTGGGAATGCAAATTGGTGTGGCCATTCTGGAAAACAGTATGGAGGTTCCTCAAAGAGTTAAAAATAGAACTACCTACAGCCCAGCAATTGCACTACTAGGTATTTACCCAAAGAATACAAAAATATTAATTCAAAGGGATACATGCACCGTGATGTTTATAGCAGCATTATCCACAATAGCCAAATTATAGAAACAGCCCAAGTGTCCATCGATTGATGGATAAAGAAGATGTGGCAGACACACACACACACAATGGAATATTACTTAGCCATAAAAAGACTAAAATCTTGCCATTTGCAATGACATGGATGGAGCTAGAAAGTATTATGCTAAGCAAAATAAGTCAATCAGAGAAACACAAATACCATATGATTTCACTCATACGTGGAATTTAAGAAACAAAACAAACAAGCAAAGGGGGAAAAAAAGAGACAGGGAAACCAAGAAACAGAAGGGAGGCAGGTGGGGGGATGGATTAAACAGGTGATGGAGATTAAGAAATACACTTGTGATGAGCGCTGGTTGATGTATGGAAGTGCTGAATCACTGTTATTGTACACCTGCACTTAATATTACACTGTATGTTAACTGGAATTTAACCAAAAACTTAAAAAAAAAGTGGAAAAAATATAAATCAGAAAAAAATAGCATTTCAATTTTAATAAATGAAATAAAAGCTGATCATCTATGTTATTTAAATGCTAAGTTCTGTCCACTGATATTTATGGTAACTACTGATATATTTGGTTTTAATTCTACCATCTTATTTTGTGCTTTCTATTTATCGTGTGTTTTATTATTTTTTCTTGCTTTTTATTGATCTTTTCTTTTTATTCCTCAACTAATATAAAAATCTATTTGTAACCATTTAGGGTTCCCTTAAATTTTCCTATAATATTTTTTGGAAGATTTTCAAAAACAAAAGACCTAGCTTATGTATACTAACAAAACTTTCTTCTGAAGACTTAACTAGATGTAATTACATATCATTTATTTTTAATTCATAAATAACATAGTTAGGACCTTTACTTCTACCTAAATCTTATTTGGGTGGAAAAGGGGACTACAGGAGATTTAAGTGGTCACCAATTTACATGTAAATGAAACTTTCAACTTCCTGATTTGAATTATAATGCTCTATTAATAGATTCTGATGCTTCCATGTCAGTGTGTTATTACATATTCCTTTTATTAAGAGATTTCAAAATATTTCTTACAAAGAACTCAAACATCAAATTTTTTAATGCACATAAAGAGAACCAATAGAATGCCAAAAAAAAAAAATCAACATTTCCAATGTTTGGTGTGGATCACTGCAACATTTAAAATTGGGATGGAAGCTTCTAGATGGTTTCTGGCATCTACACCCAGGTCTTCAGAAATCCCACCGAGAATATTAGTTGACATGGTGGTGGTCTTAATACTTTTTTTTTTTTAAAGATTTTATTTATTTATTTGACAGAGAGAGACACAGTGAGAGAGGGAACACAAGCAGGGGGAGCAGGAGACGGAGAAGCAGGCTTCCCGCTGAGCAGGGAGCCCAATGCGGGGCTTGATCCCAGGACTCCGGGATCATAACCTGAGCTGAAGGCAGATGCTTAACGACTGAGCCACCCAGGTGCCCCCCCCAATAGACTTTTTAATGTACAACCTACTATTAAGTTAAATGCTGACTTTGGAAGAACTTGATATCCCTTTAGTAGCTGCTCTCATAGGTATTCTGAGACGTTATAGAAAACCAGAGCCTCAATGAAGATCTGATTAAACACTGAGAGTGGAGGTAGTTATCAAAGATAATGTAATCATTTGGGGATATCCTAAACAGTAACAGACTAAGCAACAGAGAGAATCTTCGCTGCTTCTACAATTCACAAGTCCCAAGGGTATCTAGTCAAAATTTAGGAAATATCTCTATCATTAAGAAAGATGAACTGTTTTATTGGGAAAACATCATAAAGAAAAACTTTATAGAGTCATATGGCCTTTGTAGTGGGTGGAGGAAAGGGTTGCTAAAATTTAAGTACTATATTAACTAAATCTTCCTTACTGATTTCAAATGAGCATTACTTTTCATTGACAAAAAAAGACAGAGGTACATCCCTATCCTTAAAAAAGCTTTAGTAAAGGATATGTAACAAAAATTAAAATACCTCTAGAAATATTTCATATGATCTTACCTCTAAATAATAATTGATAAAGCTATTAATTAATACATTTAAGAAACCCCTTCAAATAAAAAATTCATATAACTGACAGCCAGCCTCAAGCCCTTCCTTTTGTTCTATATCTTAGAGACATATAAGATGTCTGAAATGATAGCTAGTCAGAAAGTTATGGTTCCTAAAGGAGACTTACTAAATTCTAAACAACTTTAAAAGTTAAAACTGCTGGGACGCCCAGGTGGCTCAGTCGGTTAAGCGTCCGACTCTTGATTTCAGCTCAGGTCATGATCTCAGGGTCGTGAGATTGAGCCCTGTGTTGGCTCCACGCTGGGCATGGAGCCTACTTAAGATTCTCTCTCCCCTCTCCCTCTCCCTGCAACTTGTGCAGTCTCTCTTAAAAGGGAAAAAACAAAAGTTAAAACTGCTGTGGGAAATAATTGTCTTCTGCTAACACAGTACTTTTTAATGAATAATGTTTTTAATTACTTGGTTTTAAAATGCGCATCTCCACCATGAGTTTCTAAACTCTCTAATTTCCACCAGTCATATTTACATTAAGATTATTAAATCTAACATTTTAGGGTAAGTTATAAAAAAATGTTATTAAAAGTATGATTGTTTTCTTTTTTTGCAATGAATAAAATTACTCAAAATAACATATAAGCTACATTTGGAAATCCCACATATTTATAAATCATTTGTATCCAAATAAAGTTGGAACTTAAACCTTTATCTTGATGATTGTTAGTTGTCCCTAGGTATTGTAAGTCAGAATCCACACTCTCACTTTTCCCACATATCTGTGAAAATCCAAGTTGTCCAAATTTCCCAGAAACATTTGTCTGATGAGTCCCAGTACTGCCTTTGGAGAGAAGGAAGAGAAAAACATAAAAGTAAATGTTAACTTTATTTCATGAATACATCTAATTTCAGAAATACTGATTTCATTTGCATAGGAATAACTACAGGAGTAACTGTACAGTGAACTAGGCAGGCAAGAAAGGGACAGTTTTTGCTATTGGCATATCTGATTAGTATCAGGGGTTAAAAAACAGAAGAGAGACTGGAAAAGTACAAAGAAAGGCATATTGAAAAATATACACAAAAACAGTTTCTTTCTACATGCTCCCTCACCATGGAACATTTCTCCAGACCTGGCTTTCCTTCTCCCCACCCCCCAAGTTTTTATTTAAATTCCAGTTAGTTAACATAGAGTGTAATATTAGTTTCAGAAGTAGAATTTAGTGATTAGTCACTTACATACAATACCCAGTGCTCATCCCAACAAGTACCCTCCTTAATACCCATCACCCATTTAACCCATCCCCCCCAACCTCCCTCCAGCAACCCTGTTTGTTCTCCATAGTTAAGAGTCTGTTTTATGGTTTGCTTCTCTTTTTTCTCCCCCTATGCTCACCTGTTCACCTTAAATTCCACATACGAGTGAAATCATGGTATTTGTCTTTCTCTGACTTACTTCGCTTAGCATAATACTCTCTAGCTCCATCCATGTCATTGCAAATGGCAAGATTTCATTCTTTTTTATGGCTGAGTAATATTCACTCTGTGTGTGTGTGTGTGTGTGTGTGTGTGTGTGTGTGTGTGTGTGTGAAATCACATCTTTTTTTTAACTTTCATTTGAGAGAGAGCACAAGCAGGGGGAAGGGGCAGAGGGAGAGGGAGAAGCAGACTTCCTGATCAGCAGGGAGCCCAACTCGGTGCTCAATCCCAGGACCCTGGAATCATGACTTGAGCCAGAGGCAGATGCTCAATCACCTGAGCCCTCCAGACACCTATATTACATCTTCTTTATCCATGCATCAGTCAATGGAGATTTGGGCTATTTCCATAATCTGGCAATTGTTGATAATGCTGCTATAAACATCGGGGTGCATGTGTCCCTTTGAATCAGTATTTTTGTACCTTTGGGTAAACACCTAATAGTGCAATTACTGGATCATAGGATAGTTCTATTTTTAACTTTTTATTTATTTTTTATTTTTTATTTTTCACTTTTTGAGGAATTGCCATACTGTTTTCCAGAGTGGCTGTACCAATTTGTATTCCCACCAACAATGTAAGAGTATTTCCCTTTCTCCTCATCCTCACCAAGATCTGTTGTTTCCTGGGCTGGTTTTCCTTTTTCCCAGTATTTGTAGTACATACTGTAAAAAAAGCCATACTGCAGAACTCTTCTCCTTTTTTCCCTAACATGTAACACACCATTCACATGGTTTCTAAGCCTATCTGGGCATATTTCCAAGATCTCTTTCCCTTTCCCTTGCCTGGTTAAGGTTATTCCTTACTGGGGGTCCCTTATAGTTCTGAAATTTTATGATTTTTAAAATTCTCTCCCTATGATTTTAAGCCCCTTTATCCTTCATCTACTGGACATCTTCTAAATTAATTTTCACCTCCATGCTTTGGTTATACTCTCCCTATCTATAACAGTCCCTCTCTTGCTTCACTGCCAATCAATCACAAACCTCTCCCTTTTTTAAGGTCCAGCTTTTTTACAGTTCAACTTTTCCTGGAGTTTTCCCAAACCACTTCAAAACCTATCACCTTTTCCTTTTTTAAATCCCTACAGTACTTATAATTCATATCATCCAATGTAGCATTAGGTTATATGATGTCTTACTTTCCAGTTATTTTAAATCTGTACAGCTAGGTAAGAGCTCTGAACAGTACAGAAAGCATGAGCCTTATAAAAATCCAAACTAATGGTATGAGCATAACTGGATATATTCTTGCATTTTTTTTCTCTATTAAACATTACACAGTCTTTGTAACAATCATTTTTGTATGAAAATATTACAGAATTTTACTGCATAAAGATCTATAAATTCTCCTATGGTAACAGTGTTCTCTAAATTTTGTGCCTGAACTCACAGCCAACACATTTCAATAACTGATATCATTTGGATATTAAATAAATGTTAACAACTATAACAAACTCAATCTTTACCTTATAAACCATTTTTCCTTCCCAACTGGCTTTGCTTTGTCAATATATTACCCTTTTTGTAATTACCTGTGTGCTAAATCTTGAAATCTTCTGCTATTCCCTTTCTTTATCTTATATATCCAGTTGTCATATTTTCCTGATTATTCCTTTCTATTTGATTTGTAAACAACCTTATCACCCTAGCTTCTTTTTTACTTAATGAAAACAATCTCCATTAGTTCCCCTTAGCTTAAAAGCATGAGTTCAAATTTTTAAGCCTAGCACACAAGGGTTCCCCATATCCAAATATATTCTTGACCATTTAAAATGAATCTTGTCTTCACACAGCTCCTAGAATATCTCAAGCCAACTCCTAATGTAAACCTTTGCTGTCCTCATAACTCTCCTCTAACTGCTTGTATCATATACATCCCCAGAAAATGCAGTATAATTATTATCTCCTCTTCAGTGTCTTTTCTAACCATGGATGGTTAGAATGGACCATGACAATGACCATGTCCTCTAAACTACCATATTTACTTTCTGTAACATTTACTTAGACAAACATCTTACCAGTTGCTCTGGCCAAAAAACCTTAGAGCATTCTTCACTTCTCTCTCTCACATTCCACACCCAATCCATCAGCAAATCATATCAACTCTAACTTTAACATATGGTCAGTATCTAATCACTTTCACTATATTCACTGCTACCCTGGTTAAACCTCCAACTCTACCCTGTTTTCACCCTTGCCCTCCTTAAGTCTACTTTATTTATTTATTTTTTAAAGATTTATTTATTTGTTTGAAAGAGATGGGGGGGATTGGGAGGGGCAGAGGGAAAGGGAGAGAATCTCAAGCAGACTCCCTGCTGGGTGTGGAGCCAGACCTGAGGCTGGATCTCACCATGGTGAGATCATGACCTGAGCCAAAATCAAGAGTTGGATGCTTGATGACTGAAACACCCAGGTGCCCCTCCTTAGGTCTATTTTAAATGTAACATGCAAAACAAGCCTGGAAAACACAAGGCAACTGATGTTATTTCTTTTCTCAAAATGTTCCTCACTCAGAGTAAAAGCCAGAGTTCATTCAATAGTCCACTAGGCCTTATAAGGACCTTATTACCTCTTTAATTTCATTTTCTACTTCTCTTCCCGATTTCATTCCAGACTAACCAGCCTCTTTGATCTTTCTCAAACATGTCCTGCACTCTGCACTATTCCCTCTTCCTGTAATTATCTGTTCTTCTCTCTTGATATTTGTGTGGTTTGCTTCAAATATTCTCTTTCTGAATGTGGCCTTCTTTCACTACATTATTTAAAATAGCCCTTCCTCCATATTCATCTTCTCTGCTTTATTTTTCTCCATAGAATTTATCACCATCTAACCTACTATGCTTTGCATTTATTTATGTCTGCTTTGCTCCAATTAGAATGCAAGATCTATTAGGGAGAAAGTTTCCCTCTTTTGTTGACTGCTATATCCCCAATACCTAGTAAAGTATCTGACACATAGGAGACACTAAATAAATATGGATTGTCAATTAAGTAAATACTGCCTTGGGTGCCTGGGTGGCTCAGTTGGTTAAGCGACTGCCTTCAGCTCAGGTCATGATCCTGGAGTCCCAGGATTGAGTCCCACATCGGGCTCCCTGCTCGGCGGGGAGTCTGCTTCTCCCTCGGACCCTCCCCCATCTCATGCTCTCTCTCTCACTCTCTTTCTCTCTCCCTCAAATAAATAAATAAAATCTTTAAAAAAAAAAGTAAATACTGCCTTACATTATACTTAAAGGGTTTCAGTGAGAAACTCTTCCAAGGTTTTAGGAGACAATTATGTCAAAGTGTCCATTCTTATTAGATCTCTTTTTTTTTGAGAGAGTGTGAGCACGCACAAACAAGCATGTGGGACAAGAGGGAGAGGGAGAGAGAGAATCCCAAGCAGGCTCCACACCCAGTGCAGAGACGGACATAGGGCTTGATCTCATGACCCTGAAATCATGATCTGAGCCGAAATCAAGAGTTGGACACTCAATGGACTAAGCCACCCAGGTGCCCAATTCTTATCAGATCTTTAACAAATATTTATTGAACCTGAATTGTCTACTAGATTATAAATTCTTTGAGCTCTTAAAGGAATTATTACGTTTAGAGAAACCTTTAAGTTTCAACATGTCCATTAACTGCACCTTTTACTTACCAGCAGCACATACAGGAAGAGAATCTGGATTATAATCTCGACTATTCTGAAATAAGTTTCTTGAGACTCTTTTTCTGCTAAAACATAAATCATCATTTACTGGCATTCCTTGAGAGGACTTTAATTTTGGAGATGGGATGAAATCATATGCTGAAAACTATAAGAAGAGAATAAAAAATTAGCAAATTTGTGTTACATCTACTTGGTAATAAAGATGACAGGATAATTTAGACTCGATTATGAAATTCAGATTAAAAAATATTAAATTTATCAAATATACAATGATACAAATAAACATCCACATATCGTATGGTACACTAACAGTATTTTTCAATCCATGATAGAAATGCTACATTTTTGTCTCTTTCTTATTATTTTACCCCAAACCTTTTCTGTACCTTACCTTCCTGAAGTACACATCTGGCAGCTAGGAAGGAAAGCATGTAAATGACAGAAAGAGTTAAAAGACAACTTGAATAGAGCAAAGAACATTTCTGATTCAGCAGTGTAGACTCTCACACTATGCCATCCTTGAGCATTACATAGTAAATGCCAACTGAAGGTCACTGAACCAGTAAGCACCCCACTCTACTAGTCTTACTGTGGCAAATTTACTATCCATATTCTGTAGCCCAAATAAAAATGTATACGTGGTAACCTATGTCACAGTTCCCTTAGGAGATTTTCTTAGATTTTTTAGTTAAAACCAAGTGCCTGATACTTTATATATGTCTAGTACTTTATAGTATCCAATTTTTTTTTTCACATGCTCCTTTTGATCCTTAAGGTACAAAAGTGCCAGGATAGAATTCTGAAGTTAAAGAACAATCATAGTTAAAGAACTAAATGAGAGCATGATTCAAGTGTTCAGAATTCTTCACCAATGATGACCTCAATTGTTCTGGATCACCTCACATTCAATATGGCCATAGCATATTTAAAAATTGAGTGAACAGCAGTGTCTGGTTGGCTGAGTCAGAAGAGCATGGACTCTTGATCTCAAGGTTGTGAGTTCGAGTCCCATGTTGGGTATAGAAATTATTTAAAAATAAATAAATAAATAAATAAACTTAAAAACTAAAAAAAAAAAGTTGAGTGAACAGAAATTATACTTACTGGCTATATATTTATTTGGAGCTTACAGACACAATCAAACCTAGACATGTGGTGAACCGTAAGCTTTCTCAGTATGCTTCTTTGCAAACTTTGGAATAACAGTGAAAAACAATAAAATTAAAAATATGTCTACTTGAAAACTTCTTGGCTACTTGACTATTACAAGATAAGACTATGAACTACCAAATCCTCAAATAACTTGTTATTCCTCAACAAATTTTGTGAAAAACCACTTAATATCTTCAAAAATTAACCCAGAAAATACCAAAGAAAAATAAATAACGCCTCCAATGAAAAATACCTGACTTTACTTTCTAAAAGTATAATATTACAATTTCTATGACTGATTATACAGCAGTTTATATTAAATGGGATAAAAATGAAACCAATTACAGTCAACTTTTGATTAGAAACATTAAAAGAAGAAATACTAACCCAGTTAAAATAGTGACTAATCTAGAAATAAATCCACAGTAGGGATTACATTTTTTTTTCTTCAGGTGGGCTCCATAGGCCCAGCGTGGAGTCCAACAGAGGACCTGAACTCATGACTCTGAGATCAAGATCTGAGTTGAGATCAAGAGTCAGACACTTAACTGACTGAGCCACCCAGGCGTCCCTGGGATACATTTTATATTAGATTTACTCTGTCATTGATTTCTGCTTAAGGCAATACGGAGGGCAGAGGTAGTGATGGAAAATATGTGTGAGTGGGGAATTTTCAAGGATGCAGGAGTCAGTCAGGGATTAATAAATTTTGCTATAGAAAAATCTGAAAATATTTCAGGCATCGGGGTGGCTCTGTTGGATAAGTGCCCGACTCATGATTTCGGCTCAGGTCATGATCTCAGGGTTGTGAAATCGAGCCTTGTGTTGGGCTCCATGCTGGCCATGGAGGCCGCTTAAGATTCTCTCTCTCCCTCTGCCCCTCCCCCTGCCCCCACTTGCTCACTTGGTCATGCACTCTAAAAAAAAAAAAAAAAAGTTTATTCTGATTATCTAAAGTCTCCTCCTGAAACATCTTTGTGTTTTTCAAATCACTTTTTATGCACACTTGAAGAAAACATGGTTGTGTTACTAGATATGAAGTTTTATATCCCACTTTTGCACTTAACATTATCATAAAAGTATTTCCCAGGTTGTTAAAACCTCTTATAAGTGCTATAAACTTCAGTTACAAAAGTAGTAAACTGCTTATTGTAAAAAAAATGCAAAAAACATAGAAGTAAATAAGATATAAAATTTTTCTTTGGTACCTCTTTCATTAGAATTCTGTTGATAAACTCTGTTAACAGGTCTCTTCCAAAAGCTATTTTTTAAAAAGATTTATCCATACATTTTAGAGAGAGAGTGCACGTATATGGGGTGGGGTGCGCGCAGAGGAAGAGGGGGAGAATCTCCAGCAGACTCCCTGCTCAGTGTGGAGTCAGACAAGGGGCTTGGTCTCACAACCCTGAGATCATGACCTGAGCTAAAATCAAGAGTCAAGGTTTAATCAAGGGAGCCACCCAGCACCCCTCAATAACCTATTCTTAAGAAACAAAAATAGATCACATAATACTCTGGCACATAGTAAGTGCTCATCATATTGCAGACATCCTTCCATGTTAATCCATACATATCTGCTTATTCTTTCTAATGGCTGCCCAGTATTTCACATTACTGTTGAACTCATAGTTTCCTACTGATGGACATTTTCTTTGTCACAACTTTTCACTATTATAATCTTGCAGTGAATATTGTTATGCACATATTCTTGTACATTTTTAAAGGCTGCATAATATTCTATTGAATAGACAGGCCATTCTATTATGGAACATTTCAGTGCTTCCAAAAAAAATTTTTTAATGATAAGGAAGAAATTTGAATGAGGGAAATCGTGCATATCTGGTTTAAGGAAGCAGTGCTGACTGAAGGGGACTGGCAGACCTTAGAAATGTTATCACATATTACACAGCTAAAGTATCTTTTTAAAACAACTAAAATGATTTATTTGATATCCTTAGGCTTCCTACACAAAGGCAGAATACCCAAACTGAACTTTTTGTAGCTGTCAGCTAACCAGTTTACCCACAGAATATGCAAACAAGACTATTTCTGGTTTTTCCTTTATTTAGCCAATTAGCGGGGCGTCTGGGTGGCTCAGTTGTTAAGCGTCTGCCTTCGACTCAGGTCATGATCCCAGTGTCCTGGGATTGAGCCCTGCATCGGGCTTCCTACTCAGTGGGAAGCCTGCTTCTCCCTCTCCCTCTCCCACTCCCCCTGCTTGTGTTGCCTCTCTCGCTGTGTCTCTGTCAAAAAAATAAATAAAATCTTAAAAAGAAAAATATTTAGCCAATTAGCTGACTCTCTTACATGTAAGAACACAAATCGCATTGCAAAATCACAAACTAAATATTTCTGACTCCTTGTTTGATGTTTATATTTCTGGAAATTTCACTAAGATGCTGCCTTTCTGGGTCCAAAATGAGACTCAAACACATGGCCTGAAAGCGTACCTTTTCTGAGACCTGGGCCCTTGAGTCCTCAGTTAACCTTTCCTCATATAACTGACTGAGCAATATGGCTCTTGCACAGTGAATCTGATTCTTGGTAAAGCCTCCTTCTGGTTCTGGCTTTAATTGGACACATGGACAATAGTTTCCACACAGATGGCAGCAGTGGTAGAAATGGGTTTTGATTTTATGATCTGACTATTATGTGATTTCTGCTGGATGACAGTATCTTGGGTAGGTGGCAGCTAATAGGGAATCTGCAATCTCGTTTGGGTATGTTCTGTTTATGTTTATTTCTAAATGTACTGATATGAGCTCCTTTACTCTAATAACCAGAGCTCTTTTTCCGCATCCAAAACTTAAGGTTTTTTTCATGTTTACTTAGAATGGGCCCAATATCTACCTGTCAATATCTACAAAAATCAAATTCCTATACCAAGAATGAAAGGAAACAAAATCTATAACATTCAATGATCAGTTTTCTTCAATTTCTCTACATAACTAAGTAAGTGTAAACTAATATTACTTTAGAACTCTGAAGCTAAAGAAAGGACAGTAAAGAAGTTTAATTATAAATTCGACATATTCAGAGAAATGCTGATTTCCAAAAGCCAAACAAAACAGTATTTCATAGTTTTCTAAACCTTAAGCAAGTTTAGCTTTTTTAAAAACTAAGAAAATTCAATACCATTTCTGTACAAGATATGGACATTGGGAAAAAAATAATGTCTCTCCAAATCCTCGGGAACCACAATTCTCAGTCTATTAGTTATCTACTGCTAAATAATGCATTATCCCAAAGTATAGTAGCTTAAAACAATGAATATTTATTATCCTTTTTTCTGTGGATCATGAATTTACAAGTGTCTTAACTGGACGGTTCATATATCTTGGAGGCTGCAATCAAGATACTGGCTAGGCCGCTGTCAATGGAAGGCTTGACTAAGAGTGGAGGATCACTGAACTTCACTCAGTGGCTACTGGCAGGAGGCCTCAGTTCCTTGCCATCTGGGTCTCTCCAGAAGGCTGTTCATGATCTGGCAGCTGGCTTCCTCCAGAGCAAGCGATCCAAGAAAGACAGCAACCAAGATGGAAGCTGCAGTGCCTTATGACCTAGTTTCTAAAGTCACACACCATTATTTCTACTTTATTTGTTAGAAATGAGTCATTAAGTCCAGATACATGCAGGGGCGCCTGGGTGGCTCAGTCAGTTAAGCGTCTGCCTTCGGCTCAGGTCATGAACCCAGGGGCCTGGGATCGAGTCCGGCATGGGGCTCCTTGCTCGGCAGGGAGCCTGCTTCTTCCTCTGCTTGCAGCTCTCCCTGCTTGTGTTCTCACACTCTCTCTCTCCCTCTCTCTGACAAATAAATAAATAAAATCTTAAAAAAAAAAAAAGTCCAGACACATGCAAGTAGAGAGGAACTGGACTGCAACTCTTCAAGGAAATAATCTCAACGAATTTATGGTAGATATATCATTTACAACCAACATAGTCAACAATGATGAATCTAATGGTGATTAAGTGTTTTTATTTCTTTAGCTGGTC